AAAATCTCACCTACACACACCCAAGGGGTACATCTCACCTACACATAACCAAGGGGTACATCTCACCTACACACACCCAAGGGGTACATCTCACCTACACATAACCAAGGGGTACATCTCACCTACACACACCCAAGGGGTACATCTCACCTACACACACCCAAGGGGTACATCTCACCTACACACACCCAAGGGGTACATTTCACCTGGGTCTACACACACGCTTCTCAAAAGGCAGGGTTTCAGACTCAGGGTAGCTGCATTCACTTACAAAGTAAATGCCTGAAATTAAAGGAAAACAAAGTGCAGAGCTTTGAGATTGGAGTGTTAAGCAAGGTTTCATTTTAAGGAAACAGCAAAGGTTTGTGGAAAAATATTCGGACTCAACTATTTCCAATTACACCATAAATCAAATACTAAAGCAAACTGCAAAAACTGCAATGAAGTCAGGCAGCCAGATGAGGTCAGCACCAAAGCAAATGGGCTTCAATGAAGCGAAAGTGCTCCCAGCTCAGTGTGGTGCTGGTGACAAAAAGTATTCCACGGGAAAGCTGCCAAGGCAGTTTTCACATCCACACTATGACCATGGCCTTGAATGATATCTACTGCAGCTGATGCACACGAACATGGTTCGGCAAAGAGCTTTTATTTAAAGGATACACAGCTCTATCCTGAGGCCTTAAATTTCATGTATGTGATTCCCACTAAATTCAATAGTTTGGGGTTTCACAGCTGCTAGAAAGGGTATCAGGTGACAAGGATACTTGCTAATAAGATTAAAAATTGAACTGTAAATTGGCTAACATCTTGCATGGATTATCGCATGCTTGAGAATCAGAATTTCAGCATGGCCACCATTCATTCAGCCATGTGTTGCTCCCACTTTGCTCAAACTGACCTTGATGTTGGCTTGTGAACCCAAATATGCCACAATGCAGAGGGCTCGGACCAAACGACAGGCCAGCAGCCCAAAGAGAAAGAGAAGGTAAATGTTTAGCAAGAAGGTCTCACGCACAGTTGTGCCCAATAGCTGCTCTTCTAAATATTTCTTTCACGGTAACCCTGGCCTTTGCTTTACTCCTGGCTTCCTGAACGGCAGAGAAGAGATAGTCACAGTAACAAGACCCAGTCAGTGTCTCAAATATCTCAAAAAACAAACCAAAATGGCATTTAAAACATGGAGAGAGAGAGAGAGAGAGAGAGAGAGAGAGAGAGGATACACATTAGATATTCAAATGAAAACCATAATGAAAACCCATTTCATATTCATTAAAGAAGGCTAAAAGCAAAAGATGGACAAAAGCAAGTGCTGATAAGGATGTGGGGAAACTTACACCTTTATACATTGCTGGTAGAGCAGTAAGATGATGTGATCACTTGAAAAATCAACCTAGGAGTTTCTTAGCTGTGAAACTTGAAGTTACCACGTGACCCAGAAATTCTCTTGCTAGGTATTTACCCAAGAGAAATGAAGTCACATGTCCACACAAAAGCTGGTACATGAGGGCTGGAGAGATAGCACAGCGGGTAGGGCGTTTGCCTTGCATACGGCTGACCTGGGTTCCATTCCCAGCATCCTATATGGTCCCCCGAGCACCATCAGGAGTAATTTCTGAGTGCATGAGCCAGGAGTAACCCCTGTGCAACGCCAGGTGTGACCCAAAAAGCAAAAGCAAAAAAATAAATAAAAAAAGCTGGTACATGAATGTTATGAGCAGTATAATATACATAATAATAAGGCATAAGTATAATAAACATAATAGTGGTAACAACCCAAATATCTACCTACTCCAATGGATAAACAAAATATGGTATAGACACAGAGTGGATCACAATGCAACAAGGAACAAAGAGCAGAAACGTGTATAGTATGAACCTGGACACCATGATGCTCAGTGAAAGGAACGAGATACAAAGGGCCACATAGAATCTGATTCTTATTGGTCTAAAATGTTTAAAATAAGCAAATCCTAGAAAAGAAACTAGTGGTTACCTAGGTTGGAGGCAGGTGACAAAGACAGGGACAAACACCCCAATATCTAGTGAGGGCAGAGTGCTCGCTTTGCCTGTGTGAGGTCCTGGGTTCAATTCCTACAGCACCAGACCACATTCCCCCAAAGAAAACACTCCCAACTGTGGGTACAGTGATAGTTGCACAATCTTACGAATACAAACTCCTGAACTGCACACCGAATGTGGCTGCATTGTATTATGTGGGAATTATCTTTCCATAATGCTGTTAGAGAGGAAAAGGAAATATGAGTTATAAAAGCAGCTGTATTCGGGAGTCGGAGCAATAGTACAGGGAGTAGGGCATCTGCCTTGCATGCGGCTGATCTGGGTTCGATCCCTGGCATCCCATATAGTCAGTCCTCTGAGTACCGCCAGGAGTAATTCCTGAGTGCAGAGCCAGGAGTAACCCCTGAGCAGGTGTGAACGCCCCCCCCCCCCCAAAAAAAAGAAAGAAAGAAACCAAAAACCTGCTTATTCTAAGAAGCCTGAGTGTAATGAACTAGTACTGGCTGAAAAAACCAGGTGACAGAGTAATCCACTTGCCCTGAGTTGTCTCAGTGCTGATAAGCAGCTCCCTAGAGCAGATGAAGAACAGTGTTCTCCGGCATCCCACTCAGCCAGGTTTCTGCTCGGAGCTCTCCGCAAGCCCAGCTGCTGTGCAGAAACGCAGTCCCTGACCAGAACGCACCACACCTGCCGGGGTCAGAACAACACACTCCTGATAGGAGTGAGGAGCTGCGCAGTCACCGACGCACCTTCCTTCACCATAGACCTTTCCTGTCAGGGGTCCCTCACCACATCACTGACCGACAACGTTCAACACCATCCTCAATACCGGGACCCACCACAGGGACCCCACTTTCAGTATCTGGTGATTATCTCAGGACAAGGCGGAGGCCTGCAATTGTTCATATTTGAAGCAGAAAAGGGGAGATCACCACATGAGATGCCTGATACAGAAGACCTCAGTCACAATGATTTCTCAATAACAATAACAGTGACATAAGCTTCTGGATTTTGAAGATGTAGTTTTGCCAATCAAGAGAAAATTATTGATTCTCACAAAATAGTTTTTTTTAAAAAAGCTCTATATTTAGTAGAAAAATAAAATGCTCCCGCATTGTGTTTGGGAGGGAGATCTACTTGTTTGAAGGAAGACTGGTCAAGATTTTTGAAAAATTTAAAGGGCAACGGGTGAGCATAAGCAAGATACAAATACTTCAATCTCACACATGGAACACCAAGGCAGTGGGGTGGGGACTGTTGTGGCCTTTCATGGGGGCAGTGTTTGCAGGGTGTTTTAGTAATAGTCTGGGGGGTGGGTTGTCAGGCCAGGGACAAGGGGCAAAGGAAGGTGGAAGTGGTCCTGGGGCAGGCAAGAGGCAAGAGCTGCTAGAAAAGAACCATTTCCAAGGGAAAGGAAAAAAAAAAGCCACTTTTGCTCCCCTGGGAGAGTCTGGTGGGCTACCATGTGCATGAGAGGGGACAGCCAGCGCCCAGGGTAGCGAAGCTAATGGACAGGTGGCACCAGCAGGGAAACCCCGGTCACATGGGGAGGCGGATGGACATGGGAAGGGAATATCCGTGGTGGAAATCACATTCCCCAGTCCATGGGCATCAGAGACAGCCAGGCAGCTCTGACGTGTGGATAAAAGTTAAGGACGCAAAAGAGGGTCCCTCGGAGCTGGGACGGCAGAAGATGAAGGTATGGAGCGGGGAGGTCTGGGGAGAGCCCAGGGCAGGGGGATGCCAAGAGGGGGCTGGAGGCAGGGGACAGGGCAAGCAGAGAGCACTGGGGGCTTGGCCTGAAAGCGATCGGGGCACTGGGCGCCCCCAGCGGGCAGAGCCCAACTCCGAGGCGCGGGTCCAGCAGCACCCGGGACGTGCCTGCCGGACCTGCAGGAGGGGCCCTGGGACCGGAATCGATTGAGCGTTTGGGCTCCTAGGCTAGCGCGGGAGGGTGTCCCGGATCTATCTGGGGCGACGAAGCGCTCCCAGGCGGAAACCCCCGGACGGGGGAGGCAGGTCTCGGGTCTGGGAGAATTTCACACGGGTCCCGCCACGGGGAGGGGCCGTGCAGGAGAAACCGGCGGAGAGTTCTGCGGGGTCCGCGAGGGCTGCGGGCCGGGCAGGAGGACCGGGTGTGCGGCGGGCCAGTGGGGTCGGGCGCGGGGGGTCCGAGGCGGGGGTGCTCCAGGTCCCGGCCCGGCTCGGAGAGTGAGAGCCGGCGGCGGGGCAGGTCGGGTGCAGCGCCGGGTGCGGAGGCCCGGAGCGAGGGCCTGGGCCGCCGGTGCGGGCTCGAGGAGCGGAGAGGCGGGCACAGTCCGAGTGCCGCGAGGAGGCCCTCGGGCCCGGCGGCCGGCCGGCGCTCACCTGCAGCACCACCTCTACGTCGTACGAGTTCCCCTTGCTCTTCTGGTGGCCGCGGAACTTGGAGCCGCTGTAGAGCAGGCTGGTGGCCACGCCGGGCTGCTGGGTGTTGATGGGAGGCGGCGGGATGAGCGAGGCCGCCGAGGCGGCCGACGCACCGGCCGGCGGGGGACACTCGGTGCGGACCGGCATCGCGGGGTCCCCCGGAGCCAGGGCTGGGGGGAGGGGGAGAGGAACCGCCGCCGCCGCGCGGGAGCCGAGGAGGGTGGCCGGGAGGGAGGGGCCGGGGCGCGCACGCGCGGGGTGGGGGCGGGAGGGGGGAGCACCCGCCCGCCGCCTGCGGACCGAGCGCTCGGGCCGCCGCCGGGACCCCAGGACCTGCGAGCAGGGCCTCCCTGTCCTGTGCCGAGTCCCCCTCCCCACTTGCCCTCGCACACACATCACCCCTTCCGATTGGCTCGGTGGCGCCGGGTGGGGCGGGAGCCGGCTCACGCGGCGCTTTCCCCCATTGGCCGGCGGAGAAAACACGTGGCGGGCGCGCGCAAGGCCCTCTGGGACCTGTAGTCTTCGGGCGGCGGGGCGGGGCGGGGCGAGGGGCGTGGGCGGGGCTGATTGACAGGGGGTGTGCGCGCGCCGCCGGTGCCGTGCGGAAGATGGCGGCGCCCAGGAGCGCCCGGGTGCCCCGGTGAGGCGCGGAGAGCTGCCCGTGCAGCCGGAGCTGCGGCCGGGAGCCCGCGCCGGGTGCAGCTCGCCGCCTGGTTTCACGCCGCCCGTGCTGCCGGCCTGTGGCTGCCATGTGGCGGAGTTGCCTCCTACTGCGGGACGGGGGGCGCCGTCTTCTGAAACGTCCCCGGGGCGGCCTTCCCGCCGGCGTGGGCCCGGCCCGGCCTTACGCGCCCCCGACAGGTGAGGGAAGCCGGGCGCGGCGAGGGGCACCTCCTCCGAGCAGAGGGTGCCTGAGGCCGTGCGGGTCAGGCGGGGCGCCGCAGGTTGGGGACGGAAGCCCAGACCATGCTAGAGACCACCGCGGGCCGCGGACATCGGACACGTGCGCCCTTGTCTTGGGGGCGAGGGGTGGCGTCTACTCAGCCGTGCCGGGGTGGAGAGTACTCCAAGGCTCTGTGCTGGGGGTCGCCGCAGGCGATGCAGGGCTGGGGTCTTGTGTAGGACTTGAACAGGGGTCCGCCACCGCAAGGTCACCCTTAGCACCTGTACGGCCTCGGGTGTTGCACGTGCAGCTTTGCTCCCAGTTGTACGTATGGCTTGTCCTCTCAGTGCGGAGAGCGTTGGGTGTCTCCTTTTCCAGCACGCAGTGGGGGTTCTGGATGAGGACCTCCCCGAGGTCTCAGGACAGACGAGGTGTGGGGGACACAGGGCAGTATCTTAACCTTTTTGTGCCCAGGCCCCGAGCAGACAGGGCGAGCACTTTGGCACCCAGCCTCCATCCCAGCGCCTTTAAGTCTCCGGCCTGACCCTGCTTTTGCCTTAGTGCCACCCCTGCCACCTCTGCAAAAGAGTGGCCACCTGGTGCCTCCTCCTGACTGTGCTCAAACCTCCAGAAGGCAGTGTGACCCTTTGCTTCTGGGGAGAAAGTTTTGTTTTGGCGACATGGAACCCCAGACGGCGGCGTGGTTCCAGCGCTCTAGCCGGCTCCCCACTCCGAGGCTCAGGAGTGCAGAGGATGGACACTCCTTCCATCCCGTTCTTTTTCCTGTGCAGAGGCCGAGAGGCTCACTGTCTTTGACACAGCCAACACACCCGCCGGATGCCACTCGCCGTCAGGGCAGGAGGTTGTAAGGTCTCAATTCAGGCGCTTTTAGCAGCCGGCACTGGGGAAGGAGAAGCGTGTGCTCACCATGAAGAGTCAGTGAAGAGCCCTGGACATTGTGGCAGATTAAACCCAAGTGGCACCTTGTTGAAGCCTTAGGTTGGCCGCAAGTTGTTGAACTTGGCCGGTTAGCCAAGTTGAGACCGTTAAGGGCTGGCAGATGCAGATGGAGGAGGTTTAGGAAGGAGTCACTGCAGTTGGGAGGCGTTGCCGCAAGGGGACATCCAGGAGGCTGCGTGGGGAACCAGGTCTGCAGTAGTGGCCGGCAGGGGCCAGTGTTGGAGACAGCATATGCATAAGTGCAAGAAAGTCAGGCTGGGGGCTGGAGCCATACTACAGAGGGGAGGGCACTGGCCTTGCACGCAGCCAGCCCAGGTTCAAACCCTGGCATCCCATGTGGTTCTCCTAGCACCACCAGGAATAATTCTTGAGTACAGAGCCAAGTAACCCCTGAGCACCACTGGGCATGCTCCCTACCCCCAAAATTGAGCAAAGTCAGGCTGGAGGCCTTGACTCCTCCCTGTATAAATTGTATGTCAGTAAGGCAATTCATTTCACCTCTCAGAGTCATTTTCCCCAGTCTTGCTCAAAGACTGGTTGTGGTGGATTGAGGGACAATCTGTAGATAAGAAATCCAGCCTGCCACTGTTTTTTATAAATAAAGTTTTATTGGCACACAGCCAGGCTGATTCATTGACATAGTGTCCAGAGCTGCTTTCTCTATGGCAGCAGAGTTGACTGATACATTGCAAGACCAGCTGTTTAGCCTGCAAAAACTAGAATCTTTATTGTCTGGTCTGGACAGAAAAAAATTGCCTCTTTTAGTCAGGGTGTTAGAATGTTTTGGAGAAAATTTAATCAGTCCATTTGTGTCAATTGCTATGGCAGAAACATTTAGCATCAATAACTTTAAGCTGCTTTATTGAGATATAATTCACTGAAAATTCACTAATTTAGGGTGCCAGAGAGATAGTATAGTGGGTAAAAAACTTAATTCGCACACAGCACACCCAGGTTCAATCCCTGGCATTTCATATGTTCCCTAAGCACCATCAGGAGTGACCCCCGAGCACAGAACTAGGAGTAAACCCTGAGCATCACTCTGTGTGACCCCCCCCAGATTAACTTAAGGTACACAATCCAGTGGATTTTTAAAAATTTAATAAGAAAAATTTTTAGTTCTTTATTAAAAAATTTCTATTAAGGAATGTTGGTAAAAACTGCATAACTCATGTTCCAGATCTGTTTGAGTAGAATTTATTTGTTTTTGTTTCTGTGTTGTGTTGTGTTTGGACCACACCCCGCGGTGCTCAAGGGTAACTCATGACTATGCACTCAGAAATCACTCCTGGCGGGCTTGGGGCACCATATGGAATGCTGGGAATCGAATCCAGGTTGGCTGTGTAAGGCAAGTACCCTGCCCACTGTATGATCTCTCTGATTCCAAGATTAGAATTTATTTAAGCTTCCATTTTGGAAATGGAATCTATAATACAAAATATTATAGAGGTAAGAGACATAGTACAGTGGGTAGGGCACTTGCCTTGCACATAGCCAACCCAGGTTCAATCCCTGGCACCACATATGGCCCCTCAGCATCACCAGAGAGATCCCTGAGTGCAGAGCCAAGAGTAACCCCTGAGAACCACCATGTGGTTTCACAAACAAAAAACATTAGAAAAAAAAAATAAGATAAAAAGCCCAGTGGGTTTTAGTATGTATGTTCAGTTTGACAACCATCATCACAATTGTAAACCTTTCCTTAACTTCCTCTCTCCCTTTCCTTTCTGATGTAGGCAGAGTCATTTTGTGATCTGTCTCTAGATTTTCTTATTTTGAACATTTAGGAAAAAGGAAATTTGAACTTTATGACTTTTTTCCCCCCACTTAGCTTGTTTTCAATATTTATAGTTGTAGCTTTTATCAGTATTGCACTTTTGGAGGGGAGGTGGAGGAGGGGTGATCCAATCCTGGTGGTGCTCAGGGGCTACTCTTGGCCTAGGCGTCACTCCTAGTGGTGCTCAGGGGACCATATTCTGTGCAGGGAATTGAGCTGGGCTTGTTTGTAAGGCCAGCACCATACCTCTGATTCTCTCTCTCTGGCCCCAGTAGTCCTTTTAAAAAAAATTATTATTACTCAGTAGCCCGTTGTATGTATGTATTGTTGCTCAATGACACATTGTCAATGTCACATCTTATTTATTTATTAGTATTTTGGTGAAGATTTGGGCTGTTTCCATTTTACTATTCTAAGTTACATAGATAAATATCTAGGAGTAGAATTGTGCAGCTCTTCTAGGTGGCTCGACTAGTCGTGTGAAGTTCCTAATTCCACCACATTCTTGCCAACACTTTTTATTATATATTTTTATCTATATATATTAATCACTTAATCACATCTATATATATTATATATTTTTTATATAGCCATCCTAGTGTGTGTGAGATGGAATCGCCTTATTTTTATTTAAATTTCCTTGATTATGCATGATGTAAGCATCTTTATAAGCATCTTTATGCTTACTGGAGAGTGTACATTTAAATATAATTTTTGGAGGGCTGGAGTGATAGCACAGCGGTAGGGCTTTTGCCTTGCATGCAGCCAGCCTGGCCAAGCCAGGTTCGATTCCTCCACCCCTCTCGGAGAGCCCGGCAAGCTACCGAGAGTATCTCGCCCCCAGGGCAAAGCCTGGCAAGCTACCCGTGACGTATTCGATATGCCAAACACAATAACAACAAGCCTCAAAATAGAGATGTTATTGGGCCCGCTTGAGCAAATCGATGAACAACAGGAGGATAGTGTTTGTTGTTTGTGTTTTCTTATTGAGTTGTAGGAATACTTTATATATGTAGCTTCAAGACCTATTTTTTGTTTGTTCTGGTTTGGGGCCACAGTCAGGGATTACTCCTGGTTCTGTGCACATGGGATCCTTTTCGTTGGCATGCAAGGCAAAAATACTACCTCAGAACCAACGTGAAGACCTGAAAAGGTCAGTGGCCTAGTCAGATTTTCAGCTTTGAAGATTAAGGTCCACCAGATGGCGCTGTTTAAAAAGGTAAAGGTGCAGGACTGCTCTGAGAAGGCGCTGCTTCTGTTCTTAGTGCATTGTGGGAGTTGTAGTTTTAGGCCTTTGAGACTTTGAAAGCCAGAGCCAACCCAGAATTGAGGCCGGTGTGAAGATCACTTACCTTTCATAGAGCCCCGGGCAGGCGGAGGAATGTAGAGGGAGTTACACAGAGAACAGACTATTTCTTTATATGGACTGAAGCACCTTCACAGGGAATATTGTTCAAATGGACATTAATTTTCAATTTAGCTCTCTGCACATCACCAGATTTTAAAAGTTATTCTTTGCTTATAATAACCCTTTTTTGTTTTGTTTTGTGGACAGTTTTTTAAAAAATCAACAATTTTTCCACATACAAGTTTCTTTTCCTTCACATAATCCACACAATTGCCTCTTAAAAGGCAAAGAATGTGCTGAGTGAAATGAGTCAGAATGAGAAGGACTGATATAGGATGACTGTATTCATTTGTGAGATATAAAAAAGCAAACAAAAAGTATGAAAATAATATCCAAGGCCAGGGAAAACGGCCCAGGAGGACTGGTCAGTGGTTGGTCAGTGGCGTGGGACGTGGAGGGTAGGTAAGATAGAGGAGGGTCCGTTATCTAGAGCAGAAGGGAATGCCCTGCCACAGAGGTGGGGTGGGGTGGAGGGACCGGGTGGGAGTAGTGGGAGGGATGCTGGGACCACTGGTGCTGGGAAATAGGCACTGGTGGGAGGGATAGGTATCGGATCATTGTGTGACTAAAACCCAAGTACCAAAGTTTGTAAGTGTACCTCACGGTGATTCACTAATAAAAATAAATAAATAAATAAATAAAGCTCCCAAGTCACTCTTGGCTGGCCTGACCAAAAAAAAAAAAAAGGAGGATCCATTATAACAGTACTGGTTGGAAATGATCACCCTGGACAAGAGTTGAGTGTTGAAAGCAGGTAAAGGGATATAGATGATAACCTTCCAACATCTGTATCATAAACCATAGTACCTAAAATGAGAGAGAGATACCTGCCATAGAGACAGCTGGGGTTAGTGGTGGGGGGGGGGGATTGAAGGGGCAGGAAGGAAACTGGGGACACTGGTACTGGGAAATTACACTGGTGGAGGGATGGGTGTTAGAACATTGACTGAAGCGCAATCATGAATAATTTTGTAATGCTCTATCTAACGGTGATTCAATCAATTAAAAAGGGGCAATGAATGTGTTTTTGCCACAGAAACATGTTTTATGAAGGGAATGATTCAGTCTGAAAATAGACCAGAGTTCCATGTGATCATACAGGACTAGGCTATTTTCTTTCATCTTTAAAGGTGGGGTTCTATGGCTCTCAGCTGGCCCTGCATTCACTGACAGTGAGCATTTCACGGACCCCTAGTTGTCTTATGTGACCTAAAGCTGCCAAGGGCCCAGGTGAGGAAACAGTGTTTAATGTTGGGAAGCATGGATCCCACTGAAGTGGTGATGTGGGGACATGGCCGCAGGAGACTGACCCTGCCCTTCGGCCTGGCCCACCAAACCTTGCCTGCAGAAGCCGGGACTCATACTGTCTGCACTCAGCTACTGGGACATTGAAATCCTTAACTCGGGATGGACAGAGTACAGGCTTGGCACTGGCCTTGCATGGAGCCAACCCCAGCATCACATATGTGCACCACCATGACCCTGAGTGCTGCCAGGGTGTGGCCTCAGCCTCGCGCCGCCCCCCTCCCCCCCCCCCCCCCCCCCCCCCCCCGTGAAGAAAAAGAAAATAAAGCCCCGAACTCTACTCAGATTTTTATTTTTATTTTATTTATTTATTTTTTGCTTTTTGGGTCACACCTAGCGATGCACAGGGGTTACTCCTGGCTCTGCACTCAGGAACCACCCCTGGCACCATATGGGATGCTGGGAGTCGAACCCAGGTCTGCTGCATGCAAGACAAACGCCCTACCCGCGTCCAGCCCTTCCACTCAGATTCTTAGGCTTATTGTCTCTTCTGTCAGAGAGGAATTTCAGAAGACAGTGGAGCAAAGTGGCTTGTTTTTTTTTTTTTTTTTTTTTTTTTTTTTTAAGGAAATGTGAGAGAAGGGAAGAACCCATGAAGTAGAAGCAAGAGGTGATACGTCTTAAGTTGGGGTGCAGGAGGCCCTCAAGTGGCTGCAGTGTAGAGTAATGGGGAAAAGTCACACATCAGAGATGAGGCTCGGGGACTCTGATGGAGTGCTTGCCCATTGGCTTGAAAAGCTGATTTTATCTGCCTTTGTGGAAGCTGCCCTGGTTTCGGGCTTTCTGTGCAAATCACTGTCACTCTCGAGAATTGTCAAGAGGCACAACTTCAAACATGGTCCTTTTGTTGTTTTGTTTTTGTTTTGTTTTGAGGCCACACCCAGCGATGCTCAGGGGTTACTCCTGGCAGTGCTCAGGGGACCATATGGGATACCAGGGATTGAACCCTGGTCGGCTGCGTGCAAGGCAAATACCCTGCCCGCTGTACTGTCGCTCTGGCCAACTGATTCTATTTTCCCTCACCCTCTGGAAGGGCAGGGCTTGCTTGAAGCCCCCTGTAGTACTGCCCACCTTTTCTGGAGTGAGACTCATATTCGCACCAACATCTCTGGTACATCCTGCTGTTTGGGCAGCTTTGGCAGGTTCTGCCCCGTATGTGAGTTTCTGCCCTTCCTTGATACTTGGGGCTTTGGGTTCTTTTCCTTGGGCTTTTCACAGGATTTTAAAGACAGAGACTTCTGTTTGTTTTGGTGCTTGGACCGTGGAGCCAGTTAGTCAAACTCTGACCTCCTGCACGCAGAGCAGGTGCTCAGTGCTCCAGCCTGAGGGCAGGGAGTTTTCAGAGGTTTCTAGTCTTTTTTTTTTTTTTAATTAGTTTTTGGATCCAGGGCTTACTCGTGGCTTTGTGCTAGAGATTTAAAAAAGGTGGAAACAGCACCCTGCCCTCTGCACTGTCTCCAGCCCCTCAAATGTTTTTATTCTACAATGCTAGAGCGGAGTAGATACACAGTCGTTTTTAATGGAAAACAGTTTACTAAGTAAAAATACTGAACTTAGGGTAACCATAAAAGTCCAAGCACAGGCCTTCTGTGCCTTAATGAGAGCAAATGATTTATAAAATAGGGTACATGAAAAACATAAAGCCCCAATAGTTAGAATAAGACCAGGTAGCTTCTCTCTGTTACATCCTAGCTCATTCCCCACAGATCAAGTTACCCTAATTTTTATAGCCTTGTTGATTTAATTTTTTGTTTATTTTTTGTTTTGGAGCCAGGCTGGAGTGATAGCACAGTGGTAGGGCATTTGCCTTGTTTGCGGCCGACCCAAGTTTGATTCCTGCGCTCCGCTCGGAAAGCCTGGCAAGCTACCAAGAGTATCTCGCCCGCGCGGCAGAGCCTGGCAAGCTCCCCGTGATGTACTCGAAATGCCAAACACAGTAACAACAAAGTCTCCAATGGAGACGTTACTGGGCCCACTTGAGCAAATCGATGAACAACGGGAGGACAGTGCTACAGTGAGTGCTTTGTTTTGGAGCCATACCAGTGATACTCGGGTTGCTCACGGTGGTGCTCTCAGGGAAGGCCTCTCACAGTGCTGAGCATCTCATAACCTTATCATGACCTTGATTCCTTTGTGTGTGTTTGTGTGTGGGGGGTTGGTTGTTGGCCCACTCTTGGCTGTTCTCGGGGCTTACTCCTGACTTTGCTCAGGTATTACTCTTGGCAGGACTCAGGATCCTAGGAACTGAACCTGGGTTGTTGGTCACATGCAAGGCAAGTGCCCGTGACTTAATAAAATTCTGGTTTAAGTTTGGTGGCCTTTAAAAGGAAAAACAAAAGAGAGATTAGAAGGTGGGGCTGGAAAGAGGACAGTGTTTGCCTTGCACGATACCAACTGGGTTCAGTCTCTGTATTGTCTCCCCAGCAGTGCTAAGGGTGAGTCCTGAATGCAGGGCCGGAGAGCCAGGAGTAAGATTTGAACACCGCCAGGTGTGGCCCCAAAATAGGCTCCGTTTATAGTGAAAGAAATATGACCTATTTTCCTTATTTTTTAATCAAAAAATTTGTTTTTCAACACCAGAGTGTTGAAGTCCACTTCCCTGCATCACAGCAACTGCCACGATCGCATCTTTCCTTCAGGCTAAGTGTATTCCATTGTGTATCTGCCCTGCAGTTTCTCGAGCCAGACATCTGGTCTTGGACGCTGGGGTTGTTTGCAGTTTCTGGCTACCATGAATGGTGCTGCAGTGATCACAGGAGCGTAGGAGTCCTTCAGAATAGTTTATTTTTTGCCACTTGAGATGGATGCCAAGAAGGGGAACTGCCAGATCAGATGGCAGCTCAACACCTATTTTTTTGAGAAGTGTCCATATCTTTTCAGAAAAAGTTGAACTACTCAGTATTCATACTACTCAGCAATGAATGAGAGTTCCCGCTGTGTTCAGGCTTCCTCCTGGCTCAGGGGTCACTTCTGACAGTGCTCAGGCGACCATGTGGGGTGCTGTAACTCGAACCAGGGTCAGCTGCCAGCAAGGCAAGAACCCCACCTTCTATATACTCTCTTACATAAGATTTTATTCAAGTTATTTTCAGAAGAAATCAGTAGATCTATTCCCTCCCCCCCATCCCTGCCCCTGCCATTTTATTTATTTTTTCCTTTTTGGGTCACACCCAGCAATGCTAAGGGGTTACTCCTGGCAGTGCTCGGGGGACCATATGGGATACTGGGGATCGAACCCGGGTCGGCCGCGTGCAAGGCAAACGCCCTACCCACTGTGCTATCGCTCCAGCCCCTCCCCCTGCCATTTTAAAGGAAATGTTTGGAGTTCTCGTTGAGCACACTGGCAAGTGAGCTAATTAGACTAATTAATTGGGTAGAAGGGATGGAAATGCTCCTGGGATCTCTCCTTACTGCCTGTGTGCCACGCACACTCACACATGCATGGTTACATGCTCATATGCATGCTCACACATGCTGTCACACACGCATACTCATATACACAAGCCTGCACACATACACACATGCCCACAATGGTTCTCCTCCCTTCAAAGCAGCAGAGTCTTGCCCAAGGTGGTCTGGCCTGTCTCACTCGGACTCCGTCTTCAGATTTGGGCCTGGCACAGGGGCAGCATGATATTGATGGGGCACAGGGGGCCGGGAGGACCCTCAGAGGACAAGGTGAGGGGGCAGGGGAAGACTGTTGGTGAGGCGGGCTGCGGCTCGGGGGTGCCCAGGATCAGGCCCGTGTGCTTCTCGTGGCAGCTTGGCCGGGTGGCCTCTCCCCCTGCCCCCTCCCTGGGGAGTGCATGGTCTTCTCCGCCCGGCTTGAGTCACTGTCGATTATGGTGCGCAGACAAGGGCAGACCTTGAATGGTGATATGAAAATCAAGCCTATCAATCAGCATTAGCAGCAATGATACAAGCTGGTCTGTTCGCTTCCTGAGCTGTCTTGACATATTTTAAGCTGCCTTTTTGAAAAATCTTTTTCACAGAAAGGAAGAGGTTTTATCAGAATGTCAGCATCACCCAGGGTGAAGGTGAGTGTCTGAAATTTTAACTGCTTGCGCGCTCTCTCTCTCTCTCTCCCCCCTCTCGCTCGCCCTCTCTCTCTTGCACTCTCTCTCTCTTGCTTGCTCACTCTCACTTGCTCTCTCTCTCTAGATTGCTCTCCCTCTCTTTTTTTTGTTTGTTTTTTTTGTTTTGGGACCACACCTGGCAGTGCTCAGGGCTTACTCTGCACTCAGGAATCACTCCTGGTGGTGCTTGGGGACTTTATGTGATGTCAGGAATTGAACCCTAGTTGCGTGCGTGAAAGGCGAGTGCTCTACCCCATGTGCTATAGCCCTTCCTTCCTTCCTTCTTCCCTTTTTTCCTCCCTCCCTCCCCCTCTCTCTTTCATTCTTTCTTTCCTCCTTCCTCCCGTCACTGTGAGCGGGTCAGCAGTGAGATTAACCCTCGTCCTTTGGTTGCCTGTTTCTAGAGGCCCTCCATGAAGGGCCTCCGAGTTGTCTTTGTCTACACCAGGTCAAGTAGCTAAATATAGGAACGGGCACTCGATTCCACTTAACAGTCCCTCAGAGATTTTTCATTTGATCTTTCAAGGTGGCTTTGAGATAAACCTGGATCACAGGAAGCTGAAAACCCCCCAAGCCAAGCTCTTTACCGTCCCCAGTGAGGCTCTGGCCATCGCGGTAGCCACTGAATGGGATGCCCAGCAGGACATCATCAAGTTCTACACCATGCACCTGGTAACGCTTTCTCCCCAGGCTGGCCTCTGGAGCCACCGAGCAAGTGTGGGGACTCCTTTCCCTTTCCAGAGGCCTTGGGGGTGCGGCAGTCTGGGGGCTCCTTTGTGAATGTGCATGTGCCCCCACACCATGCCTGTGGTCCCACTTACTCAGAAATGCCCTGCCGATGGCCAGTTGCTCCTCAGCCCTCAGCACAGATGTCACCTTCCCGGATCAGAGGAAGTTGAGTTTCGGTTAGGCAGCAGTTCATTTATTTCATCAGCTCTGAACTCAGTTTGCGATCGTCTGTCTCTGCTGTAAGCAGAGGGCAAGACCACATCTGCCCTAAGTCACCAGAGCGAGGCTGCCCTGGCGGGGGGCTGAGTGGGCGCACAGGCCAGCGGGTGGGTGGGGAAGCGGCCCTGCCTCGGGCGCCCGGCCACCCTTCCTGGCCTCCTGCAGGGGTGGTCTGGACCTGTGGAGCGACCCTCACAGGGCTGGGGCTGCCACCCGGATACACATGCTCGGCCTCCACAGACCCCGCGTCTGCACAGCCTGCTGCGGGGCTTGGGGGCTTAGGGTGCCCTGTGACCTTCTGTGAAGAAAGCAGCCCTGGCAAGTGAGGCTGGCCAAGGCGTGGTGGGCTTGCTGCCTTGCTCTCTTGAGTACTATACTGATAATCTTTCCTATTACATCTAAGCTACAATAACACTTAGTGCCTTATTTCCTATTTTTCACTTCTCTGGCTTTGGTTTTCACATCTCTGAAATGGGTTTTCATTATACCTCCTCTATAAAGGGGTTCGGTTAAGTACAGTAGAGCCTGGTGGTGAAGAACGTGTGGCCCTGAGGCAGCTCATTAGCGCTGGGGCCGTGATCACTATCCCCCAGTCCCTGGTGCGGTGGCACACAGCACTGGGCACGGAGCCTTGCCACAAATGCAGTGACAGTGCCCCTGAGCTGGCCCAGTCATGCGCTGGGCGCGGCGCGGCACCCCTGCAGCCGTGGGCTAGACAGTGTCGGGACAGCGGGTGGTGACAGGGCCTCTGCCTCTGCTCCAGACCACGCTGTGCAACACGTCCTTAGACAACCCGACCCAGCGAAGCAAGGAGCAGCTGATCCGGGCAGCCGTGAAGTTTCTGGACACAGACACCATCTGGTAAGTGACGCCTCCATGGCTTTCCCCTCGGGCCTAGAGGGTCCCTTGGGCTGTGTGCCTCATTGGCCTTGGCAGTCACAGGTGGAAGAGACAGACCCTTTGCCTCTCTCCCGTCTGCGGGACATCAGCCCTGAGCAGCTCGCCCGGTCTCTGGAGGGCTGGGTCCCAGGTCCCAGGGGAGTCCATCCCCTCTGAGGCCCAATGCTTGACAGTGGGGTCGGCTCTCGGGCTCTGGCACTGGAGGGAAGAGCTTCGCCATCACAGTGAGGCAGCCTCGTCATCTGAGCTGGGACACAGGTGGTCACGTGTGATACTCAGGAGCAGCTCCTTCTCTGTGTCTCCCCCTTGATCCATGTCCTTTAGCTAGTGGGTCAGTGATGTCAAAGAGAAGCTGAAGTGGTCAGCAGCATTGCACATGCTGGTCGGGGTACCCTGGTGCCAGTTTTGAGTTGCTTGTCAGAAAGCCTCCTGCACTTACATGAGGGACCGTCAGGGCAGGGACTAAAACTCACTCAGTCCAGCCAGGTAACAAGGCGTTTCTTCACTTCTGAGCCCCCTGTGCCACCCACTAGGAGCAACCCTTGAGCACAGAGCTGGGAGGAGGCCAGTGGCTTCTTGCCAACTGTGCCAGGGCCCTGGTAGGCGTTGGAGGAGGGTTGATGTGGGAGCGGGAAGATTCAGGGCCAGAGCTTGTCCCTGTGCTACCCGGGCTGAGGTGCAGGTGAGTCGGGGCTCTGTCGGTTCATCTGCTCCCAGCCTGTGTGGATGTTTCCACTTGCATCAGGCTGTGACTGTCCTCAGCGTGTCCGTGTAGCCTTGTGCCCAGGAGACCCTGTAGCTCCCTCGCTCCCTCCATCCCCTGCAGCAACACTACAGTGGGGAGGGCGCTTGTTTTTACACCTACCCCGGTTTGATCCCCGGCACCCCGTATGGTCCCCGAACCTCTGCAGGAGTGATCCCTGACCACAGAGCCAGGAGTGAGTCCTGAGCAGTGTTGGGTGTGGCTCCCCTCCCCCCAATGAAATCAGAAACTGCTGCACAGCCTGGCGCCAGCTGTTTGTGCCAATTGCTGCGTCTATAGCAAGGACACCAGTGGGCCCCTGAGGGTCAGGCAGGCACTGGCCTCCGGCAGGGCTGTTCACAGAGCAGTGTGTGGGCAGGTGGGGGTGTTCCAGCGGGGCATCCGGAGTGGGTAAATCCAGGGAGCATGGGTTCAGGCCGTGCTACAATGTGCTGTGAACCTGGATCGTGCAAGGAAACGGGGATATTGGGACAGTGGTTCTCCGGCTCAGGCTGACATTCAACAGCCCTAGAGAGCTTGTTAAAACAGCTTGCTGCTCCCCACTCCCGGAGGTTCTGATTGCCGGGGTGTGGGTAGAGCCTGGGAATTGGTATTTGGTCCTGGTGGAGCTCTGCTCCCAGTCACACAGCACACCTGCGGACAGGACTCAGGAGAAAATGCCTGTGGGACTGGGGTCCCTGAGGGAGGGTTTTAAATTTTTTTGTTGTTGATTTTCCTGCTTTCCCATTGTCTGTCACTGAGTAGAGGAACTGTACTTTTTCATTAATGAAGGTGATTTTTGCAATGAATTAGCTACAGGGTGGAAGAGCCAGAGACATTAGTGGAGCTTCAAAAGAACGAGTGGGACCCAATCATAGAGTGGGCCGAGAAGAGGTAAGAGGCACAGCCCCTCAGGGGTGGGCAGGTGGGGGGGTGCAGGGGGCCCCGCTGGACAACCTGACCTCTCAGTCTTGGCAGATAGCATACTCCCCTGGGGTGAGGCGTCTCCCAATGGCCAGGGCTAGGACCACCCTGAAAGGATTACCCTAGATTCATTTCCGCAGCCGCTTGCCCTCAGTGCTCAGCAGGGCAGGGTAGGGCTGGGGGGTAGCACAGCAGGTGAGGTGCTTTCCTTGTGTGTGGCTGACCCGGCACTTATGGTCTCCGGAGCCCCACCAGGAGTGAGCCTGAGTGCAGCACCAGGAGTTAGCCGTGAGTACCACGAAGTATGGCCCCCAAGCCAAAATGTTTTTATTTATTTATTTATTTATTTTTCTTTTTGGGTCACACCCGGCGATGCACAGGAGTTACTTCTGGTTCATGCACTCAGGAATTACTCCTGGCGGTGCTCAGGGGACCATATGGGATGCTGGGAATCGAACCTAGGTTGACTGCATGCAAGGCAAACGCCCTACCCGCTGTGCTATTGCTCCAGCCCCCGCCAAAATGTTTTTAAAAGGGGAGAGATAGTACAGTGGGTAAGGTGTGTGCCTTGCACTTGGCTGACCTGGCTTTGATCCTTGGCACCCCATATCGTTCTCCGTCTGCCTGGATTAAGTCCTGAGCACTGCTGGGTGTGACCTCAAAACGAAAAATACAGGGATGGAGTCCCAACTCTGCCACGAGGGCTCATGACTTCATCTCTGACTTGACCTCGAAGCTCCAGCCTCCTCATCTGTGTGGGGTTTCTCTTCCCTCCCCATTAGGGAATCATGAGGAATAAAAGAAGGGGTGCCTGCCGTCCCGCCCAGGACATGGTAAAGGCTTACAGTGTGGCAGCGACTGTCTCTGTCACTGCCACAGTTGCTGGGCTATCCAACCACAAAGGCGTGGGTGTGCTTCCTTACATGGAGAAAGCTGCACGGCTGCCTATACAATCAGAGGCAACATTTATCCTAGGAGCGGACGGTTTCTAGGAATTGATGATACCTAATATTTTTCCTTATCAGGGACACTCTTGTGCAACATTGAACAGACGATTGATGTGGTGGCAGGATGAAATCAATTTTATTTCATTCCAAGGAGAGTTTGGAAGAGCTGCTTTCCAGTCTTTTCCAGTGCAGCCTCAGCTGACTCGGGCTGTGGCTTAAGGCAGAGCGTTTTTCACAGCAGTGCTGTCCGCCATTCTGGCTCGTCTGTGCGTGTTTCCTGAGAGCCTGCAGGATTCAGGCATCCCTGTGCATTTTGTTTTGTCTTAATTAGGTTCCTGTTTCTCTTCCCTTCTCTTTGTTGTTGATGAAGAGGATCTCTCGACGTGCCCAGCTGGGGTGCTGGCACATTTTTAGCTCTCCTGCCATCTGGGTTTCATGCATCAGAGTGTAGGACCACCGAGGCCTGTGTTCCTCTGTGGCGCTGGCATGCACCCCCAGAGCTCACACTCTGATTGCAGGCCCACGGTGGTTGGGTCGCTTGCTGGAGGGTGCTGTGGTGACCACACCAGTGCCTACTAGGGCTTGCACTTTCTTTTGTGTTTTTGTTTTGTTTTATTTTGGGGCCATACCCAGAGATATTCACTGGTTTCTCCTGACTCTGGACTCGGGAATCACTCCTGGCAGTACTTGGCACCATATAGGGTGCCAGGGATCAAACCCGGGTCAGCTGTGTGCAAGGCATGTGCCCTACCGCTGTACTATTGCTCCAGCCCATTCTAGGATTTTAAGGTAAAGGGCATAACTACTGTACTAAGGAGCAAGTAAAATATAATAACGACGGTATGAGGATACAATGTCATTTTAGGGGGGTATTTTTGTTTGTTTTGGGGCTACACCCAGCAGTGCTCAGGGCTTACATCTGACTCTGCATTCAGGGATCTTTCCTGGAGGGCTCAGGGGACCTTATAGGGTATGGGGGATTAAACCTGGGTCAGCCACATGCAAGGCAAGTTCTCTTCCTTGCTGTGATATCTCTCCAGCCCTGTCATTGTGGAGCTCACTGAAGCAGAACAATAATTTAGGTGCCAGCGATCTCTGCTATGGTATAAAGTTTTCAGCTTTCTGTGACAATTGAGATTTCTCATCCTAAATGGCTTAAAGTTCAACCTTTTAAACTATACGTTTAAGATGCCTTCATTCAAAATCTTTTGTGTCGTGGGGGGTGGGGGGTGGGCCACATCCTGAGGCACTCAGGATCTGTTCCTAGGTCTGTGCTCAGGGTTACTCCTTGCTGTGCTGAGAACCCATATACGGTGCCAGGGATTAAACCGGGGTTAGGCTGACCACATGCAAAGCAAGTACCATAACCCTTGTTCTATCTCTCCGGCCTCTTTCTTCAAGTTCCTTTTGAACTACTAGGAATTTCAACAAGAATATGGGCTTGGAGCGATAGCCAGCCAGTAGGGCACTTGCCTTACACACAGCTGACCTGGGTTCATTCCCTGGCATTCCATATTGTCCCTCTGAACACCGCCAGGAGTGATTCCTGAGTGCAGAGCCAGGAGTAAGCCCTGAGCATTGCTGGGTATGACCTCCCCCCCCCTCAAAAGAAATATATCTAGACCAGGGATGTAGTGTGCTTGACTTATACATATGAGACCCCGGGTTCCATCTGAAAAAAAAAAAAAACCTAAAATAAAAAATAAGCCTATGGGGGTGAGGAGATGGGAAATCAGTATATGTAAAAGAAAATTATCAGAATGTTTTTCCATCATTATGTTTTTGCTGTGTTCACGTAGTTACCATTTTTCTTTAAAATGGAGAACTCTTGAGCCAGGGAGTTCTTGAGCCAGCAGATAGGGCACTTGCCTTGCCTGTGACTTAACCTGGTTCGATCCCTGACACCACATATGGTCCCCTAAGCACTGCCAGGAGTGATCTCTGATCAAAAAAAAAAAAAAAGAATTAAATAGCGATAGCACAGTGGTAGGGCATTTGCCTTGTATGCAGCCAGCCCGGCTGAGCCGGGTTTGATTCCTCCGCCCGTCTCGAAGAGCCCGGCAAGCTACCGAGAGTATCTCGCCTGCAAGGCAAAGCCTGGCAAGCTCCCCGTGACATATTCGATATGCCAAATACAGTAACAAGAAGTCTCACGATGGAGACGTACTGGGCCCGCTCGAGCAAAATCGATGAACAACGGGAGGACAGACAGTATAATCAATTGATGCCTCCAGCTAGAAACAGTATTTAGGAAGATGACTGATAGAGGATAGGTACAAAGTGTCATCAGGAAAACGATATTTAAAATATAGGTATCATGGCCTCAGATGTGAAATTTTCTTTTTCTTTCGTTCCTTTTTTTTTTTTTTTCTGCTTTTTGGGTCACACCCCAGTGATGCTCAGGGGTTACTCCTGGCTCTGCACTCAGGAATTACTCTTGATGGTGCTCGGGGACCATATGGGTGCTGGGAAACCTGGGCATTCCACGTGCAAGGCAGATGCCCTCCCTGTTGTACTATTGCTCCGGCCCTTAAGATTATAAAAGTAGGTTGCTTGTGGGGGCTGGGAAATTAACAGCACATAGGGTGCCAGCCTTGCAGGCAGCCAACCCATGTTTGATCTCCAGCATCCATAAGATCCCCTAAGGCTGCCAGGTGTGCCCCCCCCCACAAAAAAAAAATAAGTATGTTGCCTGAGTTTTTGGTGGAGAATCTAGGCAAATTAGAATTTCAGGCAGCTGCATTTAAGTGCACCACCTCCCCCCGCCCCTTCATGTGACTTGCTAATCCTGCCTTCGTTTAGGAGTTTTACTGTTTTTCCTCTTGGATGATAGAATATTAGTCAGGATCCGCTGTCAACAGTGAGTGGCAGTATCTCTAGAGTTCCCAAGAAGAGCCCCCGGCTACACACCAGCCCCTTTGGTCACCTGCCCTGAGTGGGTACACACATGCTGACCAGTGGCAGGCTTTGCTTCTTCGGCTGCACAGCCCAAATGGTGACACGCTTTAGCTTTTCCTTTCAGATATGATGTGGAGATTGGCTCCTCCACCAGTATAATGGGGCCCAGCATCCCCGCCAGGACTCGGGAGGTGCTCACCAGCCACTTGGCGTCATACAACATGTGGGCCTTACAAGGTAGGTGTGGGGCGCCCTGGGCTGGGGGGCGGCTGGGGCCGGGGCCTGGGGCTCTCTCAGCCTTTCTCCCCCATGGCCTCTTCCAGCTGTTTCCTTCCTGTGGCTGCCCCGTTTTACCAGTGCGCCCCCTGACCTCTTGCTCTGCATACTATTTATTACATAAATAACAAAAAGCTATGTAATTTTTTTATTTTTGCCTGAGGGCCCCTAAGGATGGACAGGGAACCCCTAGTTGAGACACTGCTAGAGTGGTAAGAAGGATAGGGATTGTGAGACACAGACTTGCAGGAAAAAGTCTCCTTCCTCTTGGGGAAATCTCGAGGCCAAGGTCCACTGGTCTGATGGGTGCACAGGCCTGGCTCCCTGGGCTCGGGCGTGGTGTCCGCCTCAACAGGTGCAAATCGCATTCCCAGTGCCCGATGCACAGGACAGTCAGTCTCTCCCCAAACCAGAAAACCAGAGATGCTCTGCTGGGAAACGGACAGTGTCCAGCAGTGGTCACCAGTAGCTTGTGTCCCCTTTGCCCCCCTGGACTCCCAGGGACAGGCCTGCCCACCAGCCCTGCATCAGCCTGTGAGGGGCCTGGGCTTGACTCGTGCTGTGTCCCTGCAGGGATTGAGTTTGTGGTGACCCAGCTCAAGTCCCTGGTGCTGACTCTGGGCCTGATTGACCTGCACCTGACAGTGGAGCAGGCCGTGCTGCTGTCGCGCCTGGAGGAGGAGTACCAGGTAAGAGGCGGCTGGGGCCAGGCGGGCCTCCCGTTTCCACCTCCTGCCTCACACCGTGCGGGGGTGCCACCCCATCTGAAATGTCTTAGGAAATCTTGTCTTTTTTTCCCTCGTATCTGGCAGTGCTCGGAGATCACTCCTGGTAGAGCTCAGGGGACCAGATGGGGAGTTGGGAATCGAACCCAGGTGGGCTGCATGGAAGGCCTCACCTGCTGTACTACAGCTCCAGCTAGTCTTTATTACCCATATGTGAGCCAATAAAAGAATGTCAAGTGATCATAATAAGAATATAATAAATAAATAGGAACTTAGTGCGGGAGGAGGGACTGGAGAGATAGTGCAGTGGGTAGGGCACTCGCCTTGCACAGGGCTGATCAGGTTCAATCTTTAGGCATTTGCCTTCCACATGGTTGACCCAGGTGTGCTCCCTGGGACCCATATGGTTCCCTGAGCCTGCTAGGAGTGAGTTCTGAGCATTTCTGGGCGTGGCCCCAAAAAAACAAAAAATTTAAAACTTTTTTGGCGGTGGGGAAGCACCCCCAGTGGTGCTGACACCCTGGATGGAGCCTGAGGCCGGCTCTGGACCCCTGTGCCAGGCCTCCTCTGGTGGGGCCTGTCAGCCACCTCCCCAGTTCACCATACGCTTGTCTTGACAAAAATGAAACCTCTTGTCTTTAATGATGGCTGACTGGCATCATGGCGTGTCTTGTCCTCCCCGCAGATCCAGAAGTGGGGCAATGTTGAGTGGGCCCACGACTATGAGCTACAGGAGCTGCGGGCCCGCACGGCTGCCGGCACCCTCTTTGTGCACCTCTGCTCCGAGAGCACGACAGTCAAGCACAAGCTCCTACAGGAATGATGACGGGAACACACCTCCAGCAGGTCACTGGCGGCCCTGCCTGCGGGCTCCCTGCTGTCCCCACTCGCATCCTCCAGATGCCCGACTCAGCGCCACAGTCAGGAGGGCGGGGGCAGGCGTCTGCCCTGCCAGCAGGGTGCAGGGGGCGGATGGAGGATGCATTCTCAGCCCGGAATCGAATAAATAGTTCTCTGCCCTGGCATGCCTGAGACCCCCCACGACTGCTGCCTTCATGCCGTTCTGTTCCTGTTGCTGTCTGGTCTCACCACGGCCAGGCCATCTCCCTCTGCAGGGCCAGAAACTCACTCTGGGGACAGGCTTGCTTGTGGCCCTCAACCTGAAAGGTTTTCTTCTCCTGGTTTTCAGTCTAATGATCTTTGGAAAGCAAATCCTTGGAGTGTCATTTATTTCTTGTATTTGTTGCTACTGTTTGAAAGTAGAAAAATGGGCACTGTTTGGGGGTAAAGGTCAGGGTAGATCTGGGAAAGGCCAATTATCACCCGTGTGTCCCGCCCAGGAATCCGCCGGCCCGGAAGACTTGCATGGCCTGTACGGCCGGTGGGGACTCCTGGTGCCAGGGACCTGTGACAGGGAAGCTGACAGTCTGAGAGTCCCTCCCCTCCCCTTTTCTTTCCCTCTCTCTTTTTTTGGTGAAGCAAGAGAGTTTCTGTTGACTGAAACTTAGAAAGATATTGAGGGGAGAGACAGAAATACATGTTCAAGAGAGAACGCGGGCTTTTTCAAAGTAGTAAAGTAGAGATACAGTGAGTAAGTGAGATCTGTATCCACAGGAGGATTCAGCCTGAAGAGCAAGTCTAGCTTCTGAGCACTGCAGGCCACCTCTTCTCAGAGGCTTTCTGACCCACCTGTCCTCACGCTTGAGGAACAGCATGGGCACTGGCTTCTCCTCTTCTGTCTGTTCTCCCTGAATCTCTCCACCACGATCTGTGCAGGTATTGTCACATCTCCAGTCAGAGATGAAGCTCAGGCTGCAGAGCTGATATGGGAGGCTTCAGCCTCTGAACCTCCGGCAGATCCTTGAGTCCCAGTGGCCGAATTCAGTGTCACCGGAGCAGCCTCTCCTTGGGGGCTGGCCTGGGAGCTGCATTATCTCCTGCTTCATTCCTGGCACCTGGACGAAGACTCAGCCCACCCGCCCTTGGCACCTCAGAGGAAAGGGGGCTGCACAACTCAAGTGCCTCAGCCAGGGGCCACCCACTAGCAGACCTGACACCAGCATAGCTGCCTTGTTGGCCTTTTTCTCTGACTAATGTGTAAATTCTTACTTTTTTTTTTTTTGAAGGAATGGGAAGAAGTTGACATAAGTCTTTTAATTTTTTTCTACATTTGGAGTTTTTTTTCCAAGGGTGGGGAAAGAACAGCTTTGGGGAGAGGGATTTGTGACTGGTCCCAGCAACTCTTCTGAGGTGCTGTAAGGTGTGTGTCCAAGTTGGGCCCAGGGGCTGTTTTCATGAGGCATTCTAGCAGACACCCTAATCTAAAATATCACTAGATTCCAGGTTGTCTAGTTCGCTCTGTATGTGGTCGATGTACTGGTTGATTTCCTTCACTCGCTTGCGATTCCTGGCGATCTCATCCTTGTGGATCTGAGGGCGAGACCCAAGCCCGGCACGCGTATCAGTGATCGGTTAGTGCCTTCTCTCTGGTCTGGGCGAGGGGAAGGACCCAGTGCGCAATGTCAGTAATCGGTTAGTGCCTTCTCTCCGGTCTAGGGGAGGGGAAGGATCCAGCATGGGTGTCAGTAATCGGTTAGTGGCTTCTCTCCGGTCTGGGAGAGAGGAAGGACAGAGACTGTTTGAAATTTGCATAGTTTCATCCCTCATTTACTTCAAAGCCTGTGTCTGACTAATCTTTGTATTTGAGGTGGAAGTTGGAAAAACAGGGAAGTGTGGGGATGTTCAAGTCTCATTGGGCATGGGGCTGGAAAAGAGAGCACCTCGGGGAGGGCACTTGCGGGGTTCGATCCCTGACATCCCATATGATTCCCCAAAGCACTGCCAGGAATAATTCCTGAGCATAGAACCAGGTATGACCCCAAAACAAACAAAAATTTTTTTAAAGTGTCACTGGACAGGCCAGAGATATCCATCATACAGGGCATAGAAAGGCTAAAGGCATCATACAAGGCATATAAGGCCTTGCATGTGGCAGACCCCGGTTCAAAACCCCACACTGCATATGGTCCCCTCAACACTGCCAGTGTTCATTCCAAACCACAGAGCACCACCCGGTCCAAAATGTAAAAAGCCTCACTGGAAAATATCAGGTCTTCAGCATGGAATTGTACAATCCTTACTTTTTATTTTCCTCCATTATTGTAAATATCAGGCAGCACCTAGGGGAGATTTCACTTGGTGACCAGAGAGGCTTTACTCACCTTGTCCACTAACTGTGTACACCAGGAGTTGACCTTGGTAACCAGCTCATCTTCTCGATTGTCAATCTTCAGGAGGTGGATGTCATGTGATGCCCCGACAGCATTGACAATGGTGTCTTTATCAACAAAAAGCTGATGAGCAAGAAAGATGGACTGAGCCCTGTACCATTACATGTGGACGTGACCTCTACTGACACCTTGTCAGAGTTGGAGAGAAAAAGGAATGGGCGTTCCCTGCCCGGTGGAGCCAGCGCCCCACCTTGTGGTGGTGGTGGGGATTACACCCAGGAGCTCAGAGTGGCTCTCTGAGTGCTGGCTATTGAACCACAACCCTAGCCCCAACCAACTTTTCACCCAAGCTCATTTGCTCCCTGGAGTAGAACCCAACCAGTATACAAGGGTAGGGGCCTTGGCATCGGGAGAGCGTTTTCTCCGGACATGGGGGGCGGGCTGTCCTCAGGACATTTGCTCTCATCCCTTAGGTGCCCTTGAGTCTTGGCCCGATGTCTGCAGCTGGGAGGGAAGGGTGACTGTTTGGATCTCTGCTGGCTGCTTGTAATTCATAATCCCCACCCCCAAACGTTGCTGCCCATCCCAGGTCTTCTCAGATTATGCTGGAGGTCCCTCCTCTCTGTTCCTAACCTTGCTTTACTTTCTGCCTTGTTTAAAAAAAGAAAGAAAAAAAAATCTGGCTGGATAGTACAGTGGGTTGGGTGATTGTCTACCATGCAGACACAGATGACTCTGGGTCCATCCCAGTCGTCCCATATGGCTCCCAAGCTCTGCCAGGAGTAATTCCTGTGTGCAGAGCCAGGAGTAAACCCTGAGCAGAGCTGAGTTTGGCCCCAAAGAAAACAAAATCACAAACCAGCCCTCTCCAACAGGCTGGGCAGGCCTAGGTTCAGCCCGGTTGCTGCAAGCCTGGCACATGGGCCCACCAGGAGAATTGTTTTCCAGAGCAGGAAAGGGTGCCAGGCCACTCAGTAGAGGTCACGTCCACATGTAATGTGAAGGCAAAGCAGTTGAATATTCTACATTGTTGAGAGGACTGGGATTGTGTTCTTGTTTTTCCTTCTTATACCAGTTATTAATTCAATCATCTCCAAAATATGTCCCGTAAACTCTTGAGATGTCACTGTTTCTCCAAAAAAGGTATTCTTTGGTCAGATGTGCTTGGGGAAGCCTGCACACTATAGGCCCTCCTGGATTTCACAATGCATACAGCATTTTTTCCAGAGAAGGCTCTGGACAGTTCTGTGGAAAATAAGCCCTTTAACTGTCTCGACTTTTGATGTATTTGGCCACAGACTTCTTTTCAGACTAATGCCAGTTAATATCTCACGGGACTCTGGTTTTCCAAAGAATTCCATCTGGGAAAATCAGGGAAGCTGATGTGGGGGGAAGAGGCCAGGGTGGGGGGGCGGGGGTGCAGCTAGGACAGCCACGGGGAAGAAATGGCAAGGAGTCATTGAGTTCTTCCTCTAAGCGAGAAAAATCCAGCCATGCTCTGCAGAGGGGTCAGGCATACGAACCTAAGCGGTGGTCCTGGTGCTTTAAAAATAGCTACAATCACAACATCTGCCCATCGATGAAAGGACCTAATTCCTTTTAAAAAGTGGGTCACGGGGCCAGAGACATAGTACAGGAGCTAAAGTGCCTCTTTAGAGGGTGGCTAACCCTGGTTCAAATCTCTGGCACCCAATATAGTCTCACGAGCATCACCAGGAATGATCTCTGAGCATAGAACTACGTATAGTCCCTGAGTATCTCTGGTGCTTCCGCACTCCAGCCCTCCAAAAATGGGTCACTGTTCATCTCCAAAATGAGGCAGAGAATTGGTCATGAAGTGTAACCTTCATAAAGTACAATTAAAAGGAAACTGGTTTAGGGGCTGGAGCGATAGTACAGTGGGTACAGTGTTTGCCTTGCTTGCGGCCAACCTGGGTTCAGTCCCAGGCTTCCCATATGGTCCCCCCAGCACAGCCAGGAGTAATTCCTGAGTGCAGAGCTAGAGTAACTCCTGAGCACCACTGGGTATTGTCCAATAAACAAAAACTGTAGCACTGTAGCACTGTCTTCTCGTTGTTCATCAGTTTTCTTGAGTGGGTACCAGTAACATCTCCATCGTGAGACTTGTTGTTACTGTTTTTGGCATACTGAATACACCACGGGGAGCTTGCCAGGCTCTGCCATGATAGCGGGATACTCTCGGTAGCTTGCCGGGCTCTCTGAGAGGGACGGAGGAATCGAACCCGGGTTGGCTACATGCAAGGCAAACGCCCTACCCACTGTGCTATCGCTCTGAACTCAAAAACAAAAATTTAAAATTTAAAAATTTTTTAAAAACAAACTGTTTAAGGAACTAATATGTAGATTGGAGACAGGACTTAAAGGGCTGGAGCAAATGCTCTGTATTTGGGGCTCCAGGTTTGAGCCCCAGCACCTCATGTTCCCCTAAGAACCATGCTGGGAGGAGCCCAATACTTCTGGGTGTAAGAAAATTAAAACTAATACACGATTTGTTTTCAGCCTGTTGTGTTGGTGCTCCAGGATCTACCTGTGCTTGAGCCCAGGTCAGAGTAATGATTCTAAGTGCCAGTTGTGCCTCATTTCTGGGCGGGAGGCTGGCAGCTCATTTGGTCTGTATGGGGCCACACCTAGTGATGCTTGGGGACGACTCCCAGCTCTGTGCTTGGGATGGAATCTGGTACCTCACATGCCCACATGTACTTTGTCCCATTCCCCTCTTGTCTCTGCAGGTCCAAGGAGACAGAAGCAGAGACATGCAGAGGCCTCGGGGAGCAGTGACTGCCCCTGTACCTGCTCTGGGCCTAGGGGACTGCATACAGATGGCCCTTGCAGAACATACAGATGCGGTTCTTGGGGCTGAGCGACAGCCCAGCAGCCCTGAGCACAAAATGGTGTGTGATTCCTGAGCATGGCTGGAAGTGGACCCAGCAACAGCAAAGATGAATTTCTGTGTGTGTGTGTGTGTGTGTGTGTGTGTGTGTGTGTGTGGTGTGTGGGGGGGGGGAATACAGACAGTGATATACTCAAGAATCACTCCTGGCAGTGCTCAGGCGACCGGTGACCAGACAGGATGCCAGGGGTTGGACCCAGGTCAGCCATGTGCAAGCAAACACCCTCCCCACTGTACTGTCTCTGGCCCGGAAATGAGTTAAGGTGACAATCACAATCACGTGCCTTTTCCTTATACTTGTTCTTAATAATGGAGTAACAGGATCAGATATTTTGCCACCAGGGCCCTGTTCCTTCACCAGAATGCACTTGTCCTGCCACAAGCTCGTGTGCGTCACTGGCCTGTGTTGGCCTCAGACCTGCCGTGCACCTGCTCGCAGCACCTGGGAATGTTCCCCTAAGCTCTGCTTCTGCTCCCTCGTCTGCAACTGGGAACCGTAATGGATCTGTTTGACCGAGCAAATATGCTCCCTGGGAGAACAGCGCCCTCCGCCCCTGCCGTGCTTGGCTTTAGGAGGCGGCAGCGCCCACAGTCTTGGCACAGACAGTGTCCCGTCTGCCGGCCCCGAGGGAGTCTTGGCTGGCACTGCTACCTGACACTCAGCACCACCCTTCCAGAAAGTCGTGGCAGCCCTCAGCCCAGGGTGAAGCCCCACTGCCCAGGCGCCCGGGACGGTGGGCACACCTGCCACAGACCGAGCGGGGGCTGCCATGATGCCGTGGACAGTTCCCCGCACTCTGCAGCTCTACAGAGTTTGATTCTAAGCTCTGCTCACAGTCCTCCTGAGTGGTCCTCTGGGCATCTGCCACACTTTCTGCCCAGTGTCCCCCTCTGTGCACGGGATCACCTGAGCAAGGCCTGTGCAGTGTTCTGGGGTGCCGTGTGGTCCATGAGGGCATGGGCAACCACCAGACTCATGCTGGCACAGTGCAGAGCACAGTTACCGAGGGTTCCTGAAGGAACTGGCATCAGGTGAAACTGGGCAGAGCTGCGCCGGCAGGAGGGAGGGTGGCCGCTGGACTCTCTGGCCCCGCCTGCTTCTCTGCATGGGCCTTCAGGCCCACTGTGAGGAAAGGCGCCGGCTCCATCCTGGGTGCTGCAGTGAGGGGCACACCTACCTGTGTGGGTACTGCGGGTGGGGACTAGATCTCACCGTGGCTCTGCCCATGCTGCTGGACGATGGCAGTGAGGGGTTTAGCAAACCACACAGTCCTGGTCAGAGGCTGCCCCTGCTTTTCCCCCAGACAGACAGCAGGAAGAGGCACATAAGCAGATGAGCATTAACAGAAGCATCTGAATTGGTATACAGGCGCTGACAGCTACTAATGGGCCCGTGACAGAGTGACAGCAGCTATTCAGGGAGGCCCCACGGGCTGGTCTCCCCAAGGAGCGGACATTTGAGCTGAGAGCAGAAGGGCAAGGGCAAGCCAGACCCAGGAGAGCTGAGAGACAAGCACATCTGCCAGGTGGAGCAGTAAGAGAGGATCCAGCCTGGGGACTATCACTTGGAACCTGGGGCCCGACCCGGCTTGTGAGGACCAGAGAGCATGGGAAGCAGAAGCGGGTACAGGGCAAGAGTACAAATAGCTGTGTCTGGACTTTCAGAGGATCTCTCTGGCTGCAACCCGAGAACTATTCTAGGCAGCCAGGAGGCGGCGGATACCCCAGCAGAGAAGACGTTGGTTTCCTCATTTGGGGTAACAAAGAATTGCTGAGAAATGGTGGGGGGAGGATGGAGGAATGAAAGCAGCTCCCGGTACTGCCGTCCCTGCTCCTTCCTCCCAGAGATGTGAGCATGCTCCCCATGCAGCGGCCCCTGGGCCTGGCCGACTCCAGAGCGACACCCAGTCCATGGTGGTAACTGGGAGAGCCGAGTGTCGCATGGACGGTTAAGGAGAACTTCAGGGGACAGAGAGCAAGTACGGGATTAAGGTGCCTGCCTTGCACGCTGCAGACCCTGGTTACATCCTCAGGACCACATGGTCCCAAATACCATGATACAGCCCTGGAGGCCCCCAAGTACCCCCACCCCCACCATGGGTCTGGTGGCCCCAAGCACCACCCGCATAATTCTCAGCACTGCAGGGCCCAAGGAGTACCACATCCTCCTGCCCTGCAGTGATCCACTTTCTCAGTTCATCAAGAATCACTGGGAAAGATCCCCTGGTTTCCTGAGCAATGCTAGAGAACCCCCTCCCCAAAGGACTTTAGAGCAAATCACAGACCTTAATCAGTTTGTAATGAGCTCCCTTGGATGTGCCCGAAGCCCCACAGAAATACGCTCTAGGACCTGTGGGTGCTGAGAGTTCCACTTGGTGCTTTGCCTATTTTATCTGCCAGTACACCAGGAAGGGGGTTACCAGCCCCCTTTTTTGCATATGCAGGAACTGAGGCCAGTGGGGGGGGGGGGGTTTCCAGTCTGCTGTGGTCAGCACCTGGCGCAGGCACCCAGGGCGCCCTCACTCACCGAGCGCAGCTCGTCAGGCATCTCGTCGTCCAGGTCGCCCTTGACAATCTTCTCCAGGGTGTTGATGGAGATCTCCAGGAGTTTCTCGTGGTGGTGGTTCTCCAGGTCCCGGCACTGAGCCATCGTGCAGTCAGTCAAGAAAGGCAGAGGCGGTCAGGCCAGGCTTGCAGTAGATGGGGGTATCTGATGCACTGCATCTCCATGGACTCCAAACCCAAGACTACTCTGACCACAGCTGGCCTTTGATGCAGTTCCCTACACCTCCTCCCTCTTCCACTTCCCTCATCACGGGACAGGCAGCAAGATCTGACCTCACACCATGCCCTCTGCCCTCACGCCCTCACCCTCTGCCCTCACGCCCTCACCCTCAGACCTCACGCCCTCGCCCTCCACCCTCACACCCTCGCCCTCCGACCTCACAGGCCCACCACTGATCTGTGCTTGTTCTCCCCCTTCAGCAACCCTAGCAAGCCCTGTGAGCTTCAGGAGATGGGCTCCAGCCTGTGCCTACAGCTCCAGGAGCTTCCAAGTCCCCAGCATGATGTAAAACCTGCAACCAGCCCTCTCTGGTCTGTCCTCTGCCCACGCGAAGTCCCCCCCCACCTCCCCTCCCCAAGCCCTGCTGACCCCCTGCAGGTCTTTCCTTTGTGAGGCCTCAGAGATACTCCGGCTGTTGTCATCCTGCACTTTGACCTCTGTAATGGTGAGGGGAGCACCAGGAAGTTGTTTGTGGGTGGCAGGGCCTTAGGTTCAAATGGCAAAAAGAGGGCCTGGAGCTATGGCACAGCAGGCAGGGCAGTTGGTTCTAGCTCTGACACCACATCTGATCTCTGGAGCCCAGGAGTGACCCCAGAGCGCAGAGCCAGGAGGAAAGCCCGAGCACTGCCAAGTGTGGCCCCACACAAACAGATGGCAGAAGGATGGCTGGGGCGCCAGCTCCTGGGTCCTGGCATGTAACTGAGCTACTTACCATAAACCGTAAATAATGGCATGTGTCCATCAGGGATGCGAGCATCTGTACGCAGGCAGGAACCTGGACTGTGTCTCCCCAAGTAAGAGAGTGTCCCTTGTCTGGAAACCAGCATGGCAGGACTTCTGCAAACAAGGGCTGCACAGTTCTGCCTTTGAGCCTACAGACTGACAAGGCTGCCACTGTCTCTGTGCAGGAAACTCCCTGGGGCCCCAGAGGACATTCTTGGAACATTCCAAATGGTCACCAGATCTCCATCTATTGGAAATGTCCTTTTCCCCTAGTGAAAAACTGGATGTTTTACAGTTCTCAAATTTTGGAAGGGGAGATTTCCATAAATTAGGATCCTGTGATGAATCTAGTATCTTGCTGGAGGTGTGGATATTTCTGTAAATCACAAGGCTAGAGTGACTGCATGTCTTGCCTGTGGCCAATCCAGTTCAATCCCTGGCACCTCACACAGTCTCCCGAGCACCACCAGGAGTGATCCTTGAGCAAGAGCCTGTGGGATGTGGCCCGAGCCAAAAAACACAACTGGAGGGAAGCAGAGAGTTAGTTCAGTGAGTTGAATATATGTAGGGAGGCGGGTTTGATCCCCAGCACTGCTAGGAGGGAGCACTCTGAGCACCGGCGGGCGTGGCCCAGAAACAACAGGAAGTGAAGTATGATTATGAAGTGCTAACTTCTCCCTATTTCTTCACCATGGTGAGGGGGCTGCTGGCAGTGCAGTGGGAGTGGTCAGGCGTGAGTGTGCCAGGGACCCACGGAGCTAGCTGCATCCTTCCCTGCCCTGCCCTTAGAAAGCCACAGGCAGCTCTCCTTCATTCTACAGGACCAGCAGAGCTGGGGGCTGAGCCGAAATGAAGCCTCAGAGCACCTCCCATGGAGGGTCCGCAAGGAAAGGATATAGGCTTTGGACGTTTTCAACGAAGAGTCCCACTAAGTCGATGATGTTCCTCTCAAACATGTTTATAGTCTCCTGGGAATGGCAGAGAACATGGTTAACATACATGTGTATGGAGGGACGGACCCGAGAACAAAGAAGCTCCTGTCAACTTGCCCAGCCGTCTAATCCACAGCCATCTAATCAGAGCCAAGATCAACCCTCTTGACCTTCCCCGGGCAACAGTTTGTGATTGACCCCTTTCTCTCCTGATCTTTCTCACAGCTCTCCAGACACCTCAGCTCCCCCGTCCCCACTGGGCCCTGGACACTCCCCAGAACATGGCACCGGGACCCAGACCTCAGCCTCCTTTCCTGGATACACATGGCACAAACCCCTTCTTTCCATCACCTCTAGAGAAACAGCGGAGAAGCTGCTTGACAGAGTATCCTGGAGCTTCCCTGTGCCTCAGCTCCCTCAGCCATGAAATGGGTTGGCTGTGTGGCTCCTGTGTGGTTGTGGTGGACCTTACATGATTCACGTGGCTCCAAATGCTCTGCCAGGGGTCTGGCAGAGTGTTAGCCCCATCTTCAAGCTTCTGCCTCTTTTCCCACAGACATCCCTGCACTGTTCTGTCGCGGTGCCTAGCAAGGCTCCCCTGAGGACTACAGGTTGGTTGGAAGGAACAATACGAGACACTGTGGTGTGGTTGGCTACGTTGGGAGCCTCCGGACCTGTCAGTAGATGCCAGAGGCTGCAGGGTGGACAGAATAAAAGGGAATCTACAGGAGCCCAAGAACCGTCTACAGCAGAGCTAATTACACTTGCTTCAAAGATGCATAAACCCTTCACAATGGAAGCAAGGTCATTGGTAAGCGGGGTTACACTTCCTGGCCGCTGATGATCCAAGTGCGAGCCTGCACTAGGTCTGAGCGATTCTGGCTGATGAGAAAGGGATCTCCCGGCCTGGAAGGTTGGGAGCTGCTGCCCAGCCCTCCCTGGATGCTCTGCCTGCTGCTTGCTGCAGAGCTGGAGCATTCCCCAGCGGGGGAGCCGGCAGCTGCTCTGTGATATTCCGGGGAAATCTATCCCATGTCGGAGGTGTCACTTGACATGTGAGGAATTGATTAGGCGCTATCTCTTGGCCCAGCCACGGCAGCATCCAATGAAGCTCAATTCATCACAGCACTCCAGACTCCCAGCCTCAGCTGCCTTGTGAACACACAAGTCACTCTGGCTTCTAAGGGATTTTAGATAGCAGTGCTTTTCATTTTCACCACGCGGTGCTGAATTGCCAGCTCCTCACTGGGGCCCCAAATGTGGCAGCCACGGGGCTGCGATTCGGAGCTGTGTCGGGGAGCCTGTTATGTGGGGATTTGCTTTGTTTTTCGAGCACCTGGATGACTTCTTTGTTCAAACGAAAAACACCTCTCCCCACTGATGCTCTGGGCTCCTGCGGGCTGGAGGGAGCATTCAGGGGAGTGGGCTCACCTCGCATTCTGCACAAGCAACACTTGCACGCTAAAGGATTGACCTGTCTTCAAAACAAACACGGGAATGAAGAGCAGGACCATGCTGAACCGTCACACTGAGCTGCAGAAGGCAGGCAGCCAGCAGAGGGGCACCTGCGAGAGCTCTAGCTGGAATCTGGCTTTGCATTTGCCTGTTTCTTACAAACGAGCCTGGCCAGGCATGGCTATGCCCAGCGGCCCAGCCTCACCTCCAGCTGCTCTACCAACTGCATCTCCAGTGTCATGAGCACATTGAATAGCTCTGTGATGTCTTCATTGTATTCCGTGATCTTTGCATCCATGGTCAGTTCAGACTCCTCTCGAATGTCACTTAAACCACCTAAACTCTGGGAACAAAAGCCTGTGTTTTAGAAATGTACAACTAAGTCTAAATAGTTCGCAGCAAGCAGCAATTTGTTTTGGTGGGCGAGATTCTGTATTCGGGGGCCCAAGTTCAGGTGTCAAATCTACCACTTAGCTCTGTTAAGTTTGTTTTTATGTTTGTTCTGGGTGGACCACACCTGGTGGTTCTCGGAGCTTACTCCTGGCTCTACACTTAGGAACTACTCCTGGTGGTGCCAGGATTGAATTCGGTTTGGCTACCTGCAAGGCAAACGCCTTACCACTGTAATATTTCTCAGCCCCCAGCTCTGGGTTTATAGGTATCTACCCTCTCCATGTCTCCAGGATTGTTTGTTTGTTTTGTTTTGTTTGGGGGTACACCCATAGATGCCCAAAGGTTACTCCTGGCTCTGTACTAGGAATCACTCCTGGTGGTGCTCAGGGATGCCAAGGATTGAACCCAGGCAAATGCCCTCCCCACTGCACTCCACCCCACCTCCTGGATTTTTGTTTGCTTGTTGTTTGTTGGGCTCAGGGGCTACTCCTTGCAATGCTCAGGGGACTATGTGGTAACAGGGATAGAAACTGAACCTCTTGTATGCAAAGCCATGCTCAGCCCAGGAAGCATCTCTGCAGACTGCATCGGACTCTTAGGGCAGACACTGGCGCTAGTCCCTGCTTGATCCTCGTTAGCCCCAGTGGTTACTAGAGGAAGGAGAAATACTGCAGTCAGGTCACCCAAGTCTGAGTCCTGTCTGAGTCACTTATGGCCAGTGTGACCTTGATTGAGCCACTCCTGTTCTCTAGGCTGCAGTTTCCTCCTGTAATTGGGGAAGATCTGTACTTCATCAAGTCTGGGGGATTAGGTCAGGAATGTGAGTGCTTGCAGTGGGAGCTCAACTCACACACTCCCCATGAAAGGCCCCTCGCAGTGGCTGGAGCAATAGTACAGCAGGAGGGTGCTTGCCTTGCACGACGCTGAGTTAGGTTTGATCCCTGGAACCCTATATGGTCCCTGGAGCCTCCAAGAGTGGTCCCTGAGTATAGAGCCAGGGATAAGCCCTGAGCACTGTCAGGTATGCCCTGCCCTGCTCCCCCCCAAAAAAATAAAGGTCCATAGCAGTCTTAGATAGGGAGATAGATACCAGTCTTCAAGGAGTTTTGATATTTGAGGAATCCAGTGGGGCTCACACCGAATTCCAACAAGCACAAAACCAAAAAAACCGTGAACAGTAGCTCTTTGAGCTATCTTCTTGAGCCCCCAAATTTATTATTATTATTATTATTATTATTATGTGTGTGTGTGTGTTGTTGTGTTGGAGATCAAACGCAAGGTCTCCCATACGCAAGGCAAAATGCATTACTACTAGGCTTCATATCTGCTCCTAAAGTAATAACTTAAAAAATATTTGTTTTAAAGAAAGAATTTCAGGAATTGGAGAGACAGGATGGAGGTAAAAGTGATTGCTTTGCACATGCAGCTGTCCTGATTTGATAGCAGGTACCACATATGGTCCCCTGAGCACTAGAGCAAAAGCAAACCCTGAGTACCACCGGATATGGCCCTAAAACCAAAAGAAATGCAAAGACATAAAAACCAAAAACCAAACTGGAAATATGGATTTAAGTTGATTTTAAGAACAAATGGTTAGCACAATAAGAGATGGAAATGTTTGTAAAACATGTGAGTCCCCCACCCAATATAAATGAAAATAAACATGGGTCTGACAACACTGGCCAGACAGACCTCGTGTGGTAGAGTTGGTAATAACTATTAAAGGTAGCCAGGCATATCCTCACATGTACAGCTCAAACTTGCAGTAAGCTATAGAAACACTATTTCAAAGAGCAAAAAATTGGGGTGGGGGGAACTGCCCATTAACAGGGGCCAGTTTGGTAAATTATGGGCTCCTCCATGCAATGAGATATCTTATAGCTATGAAAGAAAACAAAGCAAGTCAATTTTGGAAGACTCTCCAAGTGGCAAAGCCAGAATAGCAAAGCATACCCTGAGTCAAAAGAGACGTACAGAAGTAAGACCTTTGCCTGGCGTGCTCTAAACCCTGATTTGATCCCGGCACAGAGCAAGGCGTAAGCCCTAATCACTATCAGGTGTGACGCCTCAAAGAAAGAAGAAAGGAAAGAAGGAAGACAAAATAAACTGAAGATTTCACAGGAGGATGGTGACTGTGTTCTCTCTGGAGGCTGCTGTCACTGGGACATGTGTGGCCATCCATATCTGACAGATATGTGTCTGGTCCCCCGACTCTGTGTGGCACATCCTCCCTGACCTTTTTTATCTGGTCCCTGGGGCCTTGGATTTGAGACATCAGCTTGTCAGTCAACTGACTCTTCCTGCAGCCCCAGGCTAGGGGTGTCCCCTCATCCCAACTTCGTCCCCCTGACCTGGGAGGCCACCACCAGCACAGTCTCTCGCTGTTCCCAGGTTTGCCTCAAAGTACTGCTCCCTGGGTGTGGCATGTCCATCTCAGAGCAGCTTCCCAGCAGGCCAGCTTGGGCTGCAGGGCGAACACTCAAAAGCTGCCAGATGAGCTCTGAGCAAAAGCGCTGGAAACTGTGGGCCCTGAGCTAGTAGACAGGGTGTGGCCTGGCCCGAGGACTGTCCAGCTCTCTCCAGGAGGCTTGATGCTCAGCCCAAGTAAATCCCCTTATATTGGAAGTTCACAGCCTCCAGGGACCTGAGGCCCCAGTTCCTTCCCCCTCAGAGAACCTGAACCCTCCCCGCACCCTCTCCGAGCTAGGACTCTCACAGCCTCTTCCCAGGCCCAGCAGAAGGACCTGTCTACGATGAGCCCTGTCCTAGCCTGCAGACCCTTAGCAGTGCAGTGGAACTGACCCCTCACAGGAGTGGGGAGCAGAGAGCCAGAGCTGGAGGGCAGGGGGACAGCAGCTGGGCCACTGGCGCCTGGCTGTGTCACTCAGTAATTCACACAATGAAAAGTGTACCCAGGGGAGTGGTCAGTTTGCCTCCAACTGGTGTGTGTGTGTGTGAGAGAGAGAGACAGACAGACAGACAGACAGACAGACACACACACACACAGTGACAGGTAAAAACATAGTGTGCAATGTCCTATACTGTGCTTACTTTGCTATTTGTTTTTGTTCTGTCTTGAGATCACACTTGGCAGTGCTCAGGGTTGATGCCTGGCAAAACTTGGGGGACCATAAGGGGTACCAAGTAGACTGGTATAGACAAGTGCCTTATCCCTATGTTTTCTTTCCAGCCCCAAACCATCACATTTTAATGGCTGCAGGGTGTTCTCAAACCCTCCAAAAATCAAACAAAACACATATGTGGGCCATTGTGTTCCTCTGCTGGCAGGCTTGAACTCCGGTTTGAAGACAGTGACAGTCCTCCTTTTACCTACTAAGAGTACTGCGGAGGTCAGAAGTGCGGAAGGCCGAGCGCCGTCTCGTCTCCTAGGCCTTGCATTGAGTGCCCTGCTGCTAAGCCACAGCCCCGGCGCCATTTGCTCTTCTTTAAACAAGCAGTTCTCACCTTGGAGTGGTTTTGCTAAGTAATTTATTTTGTATTGCTTGTTATGAATAATCCACTGAAAATTATCCAAGAAGTTTTCCTTAGAGGAAAGTGTGTGAAAATTATATCTTGGAGGGCTTTTGGGATCCTTGAAGCTCCTGCAAGTTTTATATATTTGGTGTGCTCGAAGAGTTTGTTGAGGTTTAGAGGCACACAGAATTCCTTACAGTCTCAGAAAGAGGGCTGAACCAGAGTTGGCCACATGGGACTTATGAAAGGTTGAGAATCCAGTCTTAATTTTAAAAATGGTTTTGGCCTGTTTTTATGCTGCCTCATTTGTACTCAGGGCTTACTCCTAGCTCTGTGCTCAGAGATAGAGATAGTCCTGGCAGCGCTCAGGAGACCATATGGGGTGCTGGGGACCAAACCCAGGTTGGCTACATTCAGAGCAAGTGCTCTACCTGCTGTACTACTGCTCCAGTTTCAGGTATCCAGTCTTTAAAAACAATGTGGAGGAACGAGGGAGATAGCTCAAAGGGCTGGCTCCCATTCTTTGCACATGGGAGGCCTGGGTTAGATCCCTGGCACCACATGGTTCCCTGAACACTACCAGAATCAATTCCTGAACACCACCAAGCTAGGTGTGGCATACCAGGTGTGGCACCCAAGCAGAAACAAACCCCAAAAAAGGTAATGAAACACTGGAAATGAAGTTGTGTTTTGGGTTGGGATGGGAATTGCCAGAAATTTGACTAGCTAGTTGGTCCATTTATTTATTTTTGGCTTGGGGGCGACACCTGGCTGTGCTCAGGCTTTGCTTCTGGCTCTGTGCCCAGGGATTACTCCTGGAGGTACTTGGGGGACCATATGTGATACCAGGGATTGAACCAGAGATGGCCACATGCAGGCTAGAGCGATGGTACAGCTGGGAGGGCTGTATGCAGCCTTGCATGCAGTCAACCTGGGTTCGATCCCCGGCATCCCAGATGGTCCCCCAAGTACCATCAGGAGTAACTCCTGAGTTCAGAGCCAGGAGTTTGAGCATTCCTGAGTGTGACCCCAAAAAAGAAAAAGCAAAAAAAATCCAGAGTTGGCCACATGCAATGCAAGCCCCTTGACAGGCCTGTACTATCTTGCCAGCTCCGATTTGTCATTTTAAATCTCATTTGCATGGGCTAGAGCTAATCAGATAGTGGAAATAGCTATGGGGGGGGGGGGATAGGTTAAGTATAAACACAGGCCACAGCTTAAGCAGGACTGCAGACACAGCTGAGCAGACTGGCACACATGCAGACTGCTTGGATGGATAGTGAGACAAAGAAAGCAGATGACTAGGAGTCAACGGCTTGTGGACAGTGACAGGACCAGGAATGGTGAGACTGTGAGATGAGACTGAGGGATGCAGAGACAGCAAGCAAAGACTGACAGGAGAGACCAGGCAGAAGGTAGAGGAGCACAACCGGAATTGTTCTTCCAGTTGGAAAGTCCTGCTGCTCCAGCCTGCAGGTGTTCACCTGCTCAAGCTGTTATGTGAAAGAGCTCTAACATCAAAGACACCTGGTGTCCTGTGTGCTAATCTTACAAGGATCCAGAGCCAGCCGAGCCAGCACTGCTGAAGCAGTAATGCAAACCAACAATTTCTGCTTGCTTGCCTTGCATATGGTTCCCCCCACCCACACACACACACCCAGAAGCCCTGCCAGGAGTGATCCCTGAGCACAGAGCTAGGAGTAAGCCCTTAGCACCACCAGGTGTGTCCTCAAACAAAACAAAAACCACATTTCCTGCTAAGTATATGTGCAGAGGCAAGTGACCCTCCCACACAGAGGGTCTTCTTGGGTGGAATGTCAGTTGGTTTCCCTTTGCCAACTAACTCCTCTGTAAGTCTCAGCCTAGAGGCTTGTTTTTAAAAAAGCTGTTGTTTGGAGACGGGAGTGGGGACCACCCTGGTGGTGCTCAGGAGTGACCTTTAGTGGTGCTCAGGGTCGCACTATTGGGGATTTGAACCAGGGTCATTGGAATGCAAGGCAAGTGCCTTAAGCCCCATGGTATCTCTCTTGCCTGGACTCAGCTGGAGTCAAGGTCCCCTGAGGATGCCTTTCCTTCTGGACTTCACTCCAGTGGGGAGGGCCTGCTTGGGCCCCTCATCAGATAAGGGCCAGTAAGGGCAGGAACTGCAGCTGCTGTGGCCCTGGCTTCCCAGGGCCTGTCCCTGAGCAGGTGCTCAGAGTCTGACACCAGGGCAGGAGTCAGTCCTTCATGGCTCGTAATGGGGAGACCATGTCTGTGGGTACCGATGCTGCCTGAACCCCAGCGCTGTTTCAGGTGAAGGGGACCCACAGGCTCTACTCTTCATCCCAACCCTGGTGTGGTAGAGAAGCTACAGTGGGTGGGAGCCCAGGCCCTGGCTGTGCCACTTAGCAGTGTGATCTCTGGCAGATGGGGACACTGACCATGGAACTTGGGGGCCACCTGACAGAAAAGGGCTGCAGACCCCTCCTCCCATGGGGTAGGTAAGGCAGGGGACAGTGGAGCCAGGACCTACCAGCAGGTGATTCTCCTCGAACTCGGTGATCTTCCGTTTGCCCTGCTCCTGGTTCTCCTGGATGGCCTCACTCACACATTCCATGAAGGTCTCTACCTCCACCTTCCGCTTCTCCTCCTGTTTCAGGCCATATTCAAATATGTTCATGCAGATGATGACAAATTTCTCCTTGTAGGTGAATGGCCGTTAAGGAAGTGACCACTGGAAGCCAGAATCAACCCCCAGCATCACATGATCCTCCAAGCACAACCGGGGTGGGAGGTAAGAGTTGAGTATCAAGCTGGGAGGAGCAGCCTCTGAGCACCCCTGAGTTGAGCCCTCCTGCGCATCCCCCAAAAATATTTAAAAAGGCCATCTCAGTGGGGGCAGGATTCTGGTGACTTTCACACAGAACTGCGCGTTGAGAGGCAGGGTAGAGTAGTTGGTCACTTTTTGTGTGTGTGCGTGTGATGCTCAGGGCTTATTCCTAGCTCTGCACTCAGGAATTGTCTCTGGTGGTACTCAGAGGACCGCATGGGATGCCAAGGATCAAACATGCAAGGCAAGCACCTTAGCTGTGCCCATTTATTTAACTAGTTTTCAGGTTACACCTGGCAGTGCTCAGGGCTTACTCCTGGCTCTGTACTCAGAGATTGCTCTGGGCTCTGGGGACCATATGGAATGGTGGGGATGGAACCTGGGTGGACCAAGTCCAAGGCAAGTGCCAACCCACTGTACTACCTCTCTAGCCCCAAGGCATCTTTTGGAAAAACCTAACTTACTTATTTATATTTGGTTTGGAGGCCACATCCAGTGGTGCTCAGGGCTTACTCCTGGCTCTGTGCTCGGGACACTTCTGACAGTGCTCAGGGGATCTTATTGGGGATGGTACCCAGGGTAGCTATGTGCATGTGCCACTGTGCTTTCTCCAGCTCCCCCCACACATTTTGGGGTTTTGTTTGGGGGCTGCACCTGGTGATGCTCGGGGCATACTCCGAGTTCTGCACTCAGGGATCACTCCTGACTGGTCTCGGGGGGCCATCTAGGGTGCCAGGAGTGAAACCCAGATTGGCTGCACATTGAGGCATCTTTCCTTGAGCCTGAGGGGTTTGAGCGAGGTCTGGGCCTGGGGAAGGAGGCAAGGTCAGCGCAGAAGAGAGTTGTGCTGAAGTCCCAGAAGCCAGCCCTGATGGAGGAGGGGAGGCGTCCCAGAGAATGTCTGTCCCGGGAGTGTCATCTGAAGCCTGGCTTTGTGCCCAGCTCCTGTTTCTCCCGATCATTCTGTGTCATCTCTCTGGGTGTGTCCTTCTTATGGGTCTGAAGTTGTCAGTGCTGCCTCCGGGTGGCATCCTCGAAATTGGCAGGTGCCGCAGCCAGGAGGCAAGCGCTGGTCACTAGCGAGCAGGCAGCGGCACCAGGTGAGACCAGGACACTGGATTTGTCCTCCATGCCCTCACTGCAACATGTGGGAGGTCAAAGAGTGCTCTTCCCAATCCCCCATGCTGGGAGCTCCCTAGGACCCCCTTGCACTCATCACCTTGTCTGTGCTGGGCCCGTGCTCCGTCCCCCTACTGCCAATTTACAAGACTGGCAGCTCTGCCAGCTGAAGGAAGGCTTTACAGCAAGTCCTGAGCCCCCGACTGCAGCCCCGGACAGCCAATGCCTCCAAGTGGAGCTTCCCTAACTAGAGGAGATTCATAAAGCACCATCTGCGGGCAGCTGAGAAAAATCACCCATTGTGTCTGCAGAGCGCACAGCAAGAATAAGCAAGCAGAGGACTGTGCTTATGAGGATTTGCGCCTACTACCGCATTCCAAGATCAATTTTCCACCTCTGACAAGTCAGCTTGTCAAGCACGGCTGAGCATGCTAGGCCGACCACACCTTCAGGGTGCTCCGAAAGGCAGACAAGCAAGTCCCTCAGCAGGCTGGTTGTTCTGGTTCTGCACTGCCTCAAGTGTGTGGCCCCCAAGGAGGGGCTTGGCCAGTAAGGGTTCCAGGTTCTCATTGGAGGCATGACTGTGCTGGGGGTAACGAGCTTTGTATGCTGCCGACCCCACTTGGACCCCAGCACAGAATATGGGTCCCCTGAGCACTGACAGGAGTGAACCCTGCACATGGGAGAGATGAGGAAACTAAGGCTCGGGGCAGGGGGCTGATGGCATAAGCTCGGGTCTTGGAAGGATATACCTCCAGGAGCTCGCTGACGCCGGGTAGGGAGGCCAGCCTGTTGCCCTCTGTGTCCTCGGCATACATGCTGTTGAACAGGAAGGGGCCATCCAGGTGCTCCACAAACGCGGCCTGTGGGTCAGGAACGGCCAGGCTCGGAGGCTCTCGTGCCCCCACAGATGGGGCCCTGCAGTCGGCCCTAGGCTCCATGGACCACTCAAAGGGCTGGGAGAAGGTGCACTGGGCACAGCCGGGCATAAGTGGAGAGAGCGACAACTACGCAGGGCAGGGAAAGGACGGGGCTGGAGCCGGGACATCTGTTCTCAGAGCTCAGGTTCTCAGGGCTCAGCCTCTGGCCAGGGTGGAACTGGACAAGGCTGCACCAGTGTCCTTGAGCAGGGCAGGGGCAGGTGGGGGTCGCCCCCGCCCAGGGTACCTTGTGCTGGTTCAGCTCCAGCTGCCGGGCCTGCTCCTTCTCTAAGCGCCCCTGCGCCAGGAACTCCCGGTGCTTCAGCTCGTCGATGCTGTACTGGTATTTGGTCTCCGCCATCTCTTTCTGATGGGGAGAGGGAGCGACAGTGTTACCAGGGGTTGCTGGGGGTCTGCACAAACCCGCCCCCCCTCCGTGGCCTCCTGAGCATGGGAGGGGTGTAGGGAGGACCCCCTATGCAGGCTGAGCGCATGAGACTTGCTTCTTTCTGCATGGCTCCTGGCGAATATTCTGGGTGGAAGGGAAGTCATCAGGGTTCAAGAGGGAGGTGGGAAGCAATGGGACTGAGGCTGAGGGTTGGGAGAGCTCCAGGGTCGGGGCACAGGTGTGCTTCCCACTTGCAGCCCCGCTCCCCTCCTCCCGGCCGGTGTCCTGGTTCTCTCAGGGTTGCTCAGTGGAAGACAAGGAAAGGGAGTCACCCAAGTCACAGGCCTCGACGCAGGCTCTCTCGGGCCTTGCCACCCCGTTCATCCTCTGCTCCTTCCAGGCATACCAGAGCTGGCTGATTCTGTTGGCCCTCCTTGGCTCTCACCTGTGCTGCGGCTGCACTCTCCACCACTCTGCCCCCTCCTCACACTCTCCTCCACACGCTCCACGGGCCTCCCTGTGGGGCTGAGCTGCCCTGGCCTGGCCCCTTGGCTGCCACTTACCACCCCAAGACAAACCTTTGTCCCCCACAATCCTGCCCTGAAGCCAGAGCCCCAGGAAGCATCCTGGATCCTCCCACCTGGACCAGGCTGTGCGGGGCCTGTGCATACTTTCTCCAATACCCTTCTCATCTGTCCCATGTCATATCGATAACCCTCCCTCCAAGCCACAGCCACTGGCTGGCTCACTCTGCGTTCTCCGACCCAGGGCTTCTGCACAGGCCCTCCCTTTGCCTGGCTGATTCTTCCCCCAGCTGATTCCTGCCCACCCTAGGTTCCAGCCCCAAGGCGCTAAACCCCACTCTGTACCCCCAAGCCCACAGCCTGGAGTCTCCAGGATGATCTAATTTACCATTTCCCTTTCCCTCTTGTTGGTTCTGAATCAAAAATCCCTGAGATCCCTGAAATTCCAGACCCTGAGCTTCCACTGCGGCCCTGTAGTTTCACGCCATAAGTTGGGCCCTGGCAGCAGACAGCTAACATTTCAGAGCAGAAATATTTCTGAAGACATTGTTCCTCATTAGGCAATAGGTTTATCTCCTGTCCTTTCAGAGCTATACTTAAAAAAAAAAGTTTACAATTTAAAAAATCATCCGGGACAGGGGAGCTTGCTCCAAGGACTGCAGCGTCTTTTGCATGTGGGAGCTGTGGGCTTGACCCCTAGTACTGCACTGCCCTGAGCACCACTAAGTACTAAACAAAACAAACAGAACAAACACAAAAAGCAATTTAAAAAATTGCATCTTCTCTCCACCCCCTGCCCCAGTCTCCTGAACCCTGAATGGCTTGTCCTATAGCAAAAACTGCCCATGGCCACTCAGAATGTTCCCAGGCATCGCTATAGCTAGTGGTCACAACTTGGCTGGGGCCCCAAAGGGCAGGGGAGATCCTGGCAAGGCCTGAGCACTGATCTCTGCTAGCTGCTGCCCTCCCCTGGCCTCCTCCTCCAGGAGAGTGGGTAGCCCAGGATGGCCAGAGGCAAGGCCCACAGGGGACTGGGCCAGTCTGGCCAGTCTGGACAGTGCCACGGAGTCTACTGCAATGGCTCCTGGGAGCGACCAGAGGTGCCGGGTGGGGACTGCAAGGTCTTTGGGGGGTGAAATGGGCTCAGCATCCCTTTCCCTGCATCTGCGCCCAAGGGCCTGGGCCTGACTCACAGGGCTGGGAAACCCAAGGAGACACTTGCCATGCGGTCATCAATGCGTCGGAAGTCCAGGTACACGAGATCAGGCAGGTAGGCGCAGATGAAAATCTTGTAATTCTCCGCCTCGGTAAGGGGGTTCCCAGCAAGATTGAGCGTCCGCAGGTTCTTGAACCGCCGTAGGTAGATAAGCTGAGAAGAAGGAGATCTATTTTCTTGGCTGTCCTGAGCTGAGAACAGTCCTGCCAGCCCCTCCCAAGGGTGGGCAGTGGGCAGGGGCTGGGGCTGCGCTGCATGGCATGCCTTCCTTCCAGGCTGGGCACAGACTCACACTCCAGCTGTGGGACCCTGGGAAGGTATCAAGCATCTTTAATCTTCAATCTCCTCATCTGGAAACTAGTGGAAATATGTGTGGGGCTGGGGAAATAGCTCAGTGGTCAGGGCCGCAGACTCTGCACGCACGGGATTCAGTTTAGCTGCACCTGGCACTCACAGTTTCCCAAGCATGGCTGGGTGTGTCCCCACTGGGTATGGCTCAGGTAGTCCTTACCCTCCACCCCAGCCAGTTGGCTAGCTATTGAGTAGCATATGGATTAGCCTAGGGGGTCCCCTGGACACTTCTTGAGAACCCCCACTGCCCCCCCCCTACACACATGCACACACACAAGGATAATATTTCTGGATAATAGATATTGTAATAACCAAATGAAATAAGCTATGAAAAGCATGAGATTTTGGGGGCCACACCTGGCAGTGCTCAGAGCTTACTTCTGGCTTTGTACTCAGGAATCACTCTTGGCAGTGCTTGGGGGACCATGTGAGATGCTGGGGATAGAACCTGGGCTGGCCATGCACAAGGCAAGGGCTGCTTCGAGGTCCTTTTTTTTTTTCTGGGTCACACCTAGCGATGCACAGGGGTTACTCCTGGCTCTGCACCCAGGAGTTACTCCTGGCGGTGCTCAGGGGACCATATGGGAAGTTGGGAATTGAACCCGGGTCGGCCGTGTGCAAGGCAAACGCCCTACCCGCTGTGCTATCTCTCCAGCCCCGCTTCACGGGTCCTTTCACTCCAGCCCCAGGGGATCACTCCTGGCAAGGCTTGGAGGACATATGCCATGCCAGGGATCAAATCTCCCGTCATCACCTACAAGGTAAGCAACCTACCTGCTGTCTATCTCTCAGGCCTTATGGAAAAGCATTTAAAAGACAGCCTCTCTCTCTCTCCTCCTCTCTCTCAGGAAAAGTGCTTGCTGCTGTTATTATCACTTGGAATAGGTGTGCCCTTTTCAACTGTGAAATGCAGAACATTCAACTAACTGCTATTTGTGCTCCTATACTCAATTTTCAGTAAAAATGCAGAGAAGGTCAACCAGATAGCTAATATTAATTTGACAGCCCCTTCTGAATGCTCAAGTCCCTTATTATACAAAAGAAAGTTAACAGGCTTTTCTAAAAGAATTTGTTTCATTTCTTCCTTTTCTTTCCCTCTTTCTTTCTCTACCAATGCTCAAAGGCTACTTCCAGATCTAAGCTTGCATTTTGCTTCTGAGTACTCAGGAAATCATGTGGTGCTGAGGACCTAACCCCTTTGCTCCAGTTTCAGTGCTCTATCTCTCTGACCCCATTAATTTTTCTAAGAAACATTATTGTGCACCTATAAGGCCCCAGCAGAGAGCCCTAATAGCAGTACCCACCCCACCCCCATATCCCAGGGAAAGGGTTTGGAAAATTAAAAATGTATCTTGTTTAACCTTTCTAATTTCAATTTTGTTCATCATTAAGATATTGATTACAAAATATGTATTAGGCCTGGAGAGATGCTTGTCTTTTACACTGTTGACCAGAGTTTGATTCCCAAAAGTGCATATGGTCTCCAAAGTGCCACCAGGAGTGATCCCTGAACAGAGTCAGGAGTAGTCCCTGAGCATATGGGTATGGGCCAAAGAAAGAGTACTTGTCAGGCCTCTTCCACAAGTTTAGTGGATTCTGAAAATTAACTGTTCTACATGAGAAGGAGCCCCAAAGCTCACAGGAACTGCTGATTACTGACTGCAGAGTCTTTGAAAAATCTGTTCCCATCTACCTTCAGCCATACAGACCAGTCACCTTAGATGCAGCTTTGTTCAACCTCCGTGGAATGCACAGGCTAGGAATGCAAGGACTGTGACTGCATGATCACAATCGTGATCTTAGGTGTTGGCCTGAAAATTTGAGCAGCAAACAAGGTGCTGGACTAATCTTGTATAAACTTTATTTCACTGACGAGGAAAGGACGCCCACCTCCCAGAGGGGCTGCTGGCACAGCAGGTTCTCCCCAGGTCTGTGGGTCTTCTCCAGCTTTCTCCCATATCCCAAAGAGGTGTGCAAATTAGAGAAATTGATTTGTCCCAATTGTTCATACACCCCTTATCATGAAAGGGCATCCTTCCCTGCTCAGGGCTGGGTCCCATCAGTGCCCTTAGCCCTGGGACAGGTTCTACTCATCTGACAACCTGGAATAAGAGAGTGGGAAAAGAAATGAGCGAATAAATAGAAATTATTATTATTATTACTGCTGGGCCACACCCAGCTGTGCTCAGGGCTTATTCCTGGCTTTGCACTCAGGAATGATTTCTGGCAGTGCTTGGGGGACCATATGGGGGTGTCAGGAAGTAAACCCAGTCCTGTCAGGAATTAAACCCAGTCCAGCCTCATGGAAGACATGAGGCTTGTTGATTATTTTTAAAAAGTATTCTATTGGGGGCCAGCGATAGTACAGCAGTTAGGGCATTTGGCTTGTACATGGCTGACCCAGGTTTGATCCTTGGCATCCCATATGGTCCCCTGAGCACCGCCACGAGTGATTCCTGAGTGCAGAGTCAATAGTAATACCTGAGCATTGCCAGGTGTAGCCCAAAAAAACAAACAAATAAAAAACGTCCTAATGAGATTCCATTTTTCACCTTTCATTTGTTTTGGGGTCAGACTAAGCTGTGCTCAGGGCTTACTCTTGGCTCTATGTTTGGGGATCACTCATGGAGATGCTTGGGTGGGGGGAACCACAGGATATGTCAGGGATTGAACATGGGTTGGTTTCATACAAGATGAGCATCTTTATAACTCTTCAGCCCTCATTTTTAAATTGTTGAGGGTTTTGTAATACCATGCATTGTGAAATATAAGCAAAACCAGACCTTTTCATGATTTCTGGTGGTATTGTAAACAGTTCCACTTCTCTAGATGGCAATTTGGTCAAATCCATCAAAATGAAAAATGCACAAGCCTTCACACCCTGCAATTCCACCTTTAGGAATTTATCTTACAGATGTACTCATCCAGCGGCAAGGAAAGCACTGCTGGAGAACATTCATTACAGCCTGCAAGCAACAGCCTGTGATTGGAAACAACCTCAGCATCTACCTAGGGGCACCAGAAAAACAGTTGATGCATCTCAGCAATGGAAAGGTCCAATGGAGGGGGCAGCGGGGTTGTGGGGGACTGATGACTCAGGAAGAGAGATGACCCAAAGCAGGTGGGTGAAGGACGAGGGGACAGACATGACAGCCATTCAAAGATACATGCAATTTAGAAGCAGCCATGGCCTCTGGAAGGGGAAGCAGGCTGAACTGGGAGGGATAGAGGCTCTCCTGCAGACACATGGGTTTGTTTGGAATGTAACAAGCAGAGATTCAGATGAACACCATGCCCCATATAGAAATGAGTAACAACAAAGCACAGAACTAGGTGTCAGCTACACCCTGCACACAAGGGCCAAAGTTAAGATGCTCAAGATTTGTAGACTATTAAGTCAGGAATCTGCGATTAATTTATGAAGCATGCTGCATAGGGAAGGAGGGGTTTGGGACTCCAGGGTCCCAGGGCGACACAGCCTAAGAACAAGGACATCTAGGCTTAGAGACTTCAGTAACCCCTGCAACCCCCACCCCCCTGCAGCTTCTTCACCCCAGGTGCCTTCTTCCTTCTGCTTTTGCCTAGGGACTGGGTTCATTTGCTTCTCTGTGTTCATAAGAACTCGCTGGTACTCAGTGACCCCTGAAACGGAGGGCTGACATTTGTTCCTGCCCAGTTCCCCAAGGGTAAGATGGTGGCTGTGGGCAGCCAGAGTCAGCCAAGCACCATGCAGGCAGCAGAGCATCCTTCCATGTAGGCCTGGGACTCTCCTGGGTAGGCACTGAGCTGAATATTCAGAAAGATTTTCAAGCAGCAAGATTTGCGTCTATTTAAGGTTTACTGCCACCCCCAGTGCTGGGGGCTGAATCCTGGGCCTCATACATGACACATGTAAAGCAAACAAATCACCATCTCATCCTCTGTACCTGCTGTGTCCCAGGTGGTGTCTCAGCAGTCCCTTAAGACTGCCTCATCAACCCACTTCACTCTTGTTACTGTCTTTTATGGATGGGCTCGAGGTAAAGGTAAAGGCCCTCCCGTTGATCGTCGATTTGCTCGAGCGGGCCCAGTAACGTCTCCATTGGAGACTTTGTTGTTACTGTGTCTGGCATATCGAATACTCTCGGTAGCTTGCCGGGCTCTCCGAGAGGGGCGGAGGAATCGAACTCGGGTCGGCCATGTTGGCCGCTTGTAAGGCGAACGCCCTACCCGCTGTGCTATCACGCCAGAAGGCACTGGGAAAGATCGAGAGCTGATTGATCCTGGCCTAGGATTAGGGAACTCATTCTAGGGACTGCAGCCTGCGGAAGCCCCTGGGTCCCTCCCCAGCCCCTGTGGTCCTCTGAGCACTGTTGGGAGTGACGCCCATGCCCCTCCAGGTGTGTTCTTCAAACACAAAGCAAAGGATCTTGGGTATGGACTCAGTTTAGCTGATCTCATTCAGTATTTGCCTGCCTCCATAATGCCGAGGGCAAACTGAGCAACTGGGACTTGAACCCTGCAAAGAGGCTGATGTGGTTTAGCCGCTACTGCCTGGCATACACGACAAATTTCAGTTTGGGGGAGTTTTTTGTTAGTTTGTGTTTGTTTGGTCACACCTGGCTGTGCTCAGATTTACTCCTAGTTCTGTACTCAGGGATCACTCCTGGTGGGCCATATGGGGTCCTACGGATCAATCCTGGGTCTGCTGCAGGCAAGGCAAGTGCCTTACCTGCTGGGTTAGTTCTCTAGCCCCCAAACTCCTAGGATCAGACAGCATCTGGGCTCTGGCCCCATGGGACAGGCTTCAGTGAAAAGCCAGTGTGTGTTGGGGCTAGAGCGATAGCACAGCGGGTAGGGTGTTTGCCTTGCATGCGGCCGACCCGGCTTCAATTCCCAGCATCCCATATGGTCCCCTGAGCACTGCCAGGATTGATTCCTGAGTGCAAAACCAGGAGTAACTCCTGAGCATTGCCAGGTGTGACCCGAAAAGCAAAAAAAAAAAGGCAGTGTGTGGATCATTCATTCATCTAAATTCTCCACCCCAGCCTAGCCTTCCCCTAGCTCTGACTGGTGTGTGGGTGGTGCAGACCTGACCAGGCCGCTGCTATAAACCCCCTACCTCTCCATGCAGACTGGAAGCCTGTGGCCTTGGTTGCTTGACTACAACCACAAGGGACCCAGAAAGCGGTCCATGAGGGAGAGCCCAAAGATGGAAGAAATGTCCCTGCAGTCTTGGCGATGCATCAAAGTAGTGGCTTGCAGTACCATGTCACTGAGTGTCCCATCTCTTGGCATAGCGTGCCTCACCTCTACCTCAGCACAGCTCTACCGACTCTTGCTGACATCCTATCACATCCCTGGGGTGTGAAAGGACAGGACAGATGAGGGGATAAATGCTCCAGCTACAGAGCCTGATCTTCACTCCTGGGAGGCATGTGGACACTCCGTGTGGGCACATGATGAACCCCGTGTGGGCACGTTAGCTTTGCCAGCTTTCTGTGCTGGCCTTCCCGCTCACTATCACATCCTTGCCTTGTTTTTGGTGCACTGGGGCAACCATTTCTGTTCCTTAGGCAAAGCCTAAGGTTGTTGTTTTGGGGCCACATCCCGTGGTGTTCAGGGCTTACTCTCTCTGTGCTCAGAGATCACTCTTACTGATGCAGGATGTGGAACCCAGGTGGGCCGCATGCAAGGCAAATGCCTTACCCATTGTTCTATCTCTGGGATGAAAAGAGCCATTTCTGATCTTACTGGCCTGGCTTAATCCACTCTCACAATGCCCCTCAACCCCATCCTCTCGGCAAGAGGGGCTCCTTTTGAAATGCCGACACACCCTTGGCATTCCGCAGCACACAGGCCTTCCACAGATCCCCTCCACCACCAGGGCTGCCAAGCCCGAGGTCTGCCCTGCACCCTTGGCCTCTTAGTGACCTTGGGCTCCTCCACAGTGCTGTGCTTCCCCAAGAACCATCACAAGCACGCTCTGCAGAATTCGCTCGTGCCACTGCCTCCTCCTGGGAACTGGATGGCAGAACTCAGTTGTTGAAACCATTTACTGATGTGCTCACTTTGGCAGCACATATACTAAAATTGGAATGATACAGAGAAGATTAGCATGGCCCCTAGGCAAGGATGACAAACAAATTCATGGACTATTCAGAAAGAGAATAATCTCTCTCTGGAAGGCAGAAGAAAGAGAGGGGGAGAGAGAGGAAGGAAGGGAGGGATAGAGAGAGGGAGGGAGGAAGGGAAGGAGAGAGGAAGGAAGGAGGGAAGTTATTTTAAAAAGCCAAAGAGGTAGTACAGTGGGTAGGGTGCTTGCCTTGCACATGCCTGGCACGGGTCTGAACCCTGGCACCACATACAGTGATCCAAGCCCATCAGGAATGATCTCTAGTCTCAGAGCCAGGAGTGAGCCCTGAGCACTGCTGGCTTAAACCAAAAGAATAAAATAAATAAATAAATAAACTCATTTGCTGATGCTGCCAGGAGGGATCTTGGCTCTGAAAGCTCAGCACAGAACAGAATGTCTTACACACACTGCCTGACTTGGTGTATGGATATGCCCTTCAGCTCTATTTTAGAGATAAGGAAACTGAGGCAGAGGGGGCTCACAGCTAGATATAGGGCGGGCTGTAGACCCAGGCTGCCTGACTGAGCTAAGCAGGAAAGGAATCTTGGTGCAGTGGCGCAGACAGATGGGAGAAGCAGGTGCTAGCACAGGCCTGCCTGGGGAGCTGCGGGAGATCACTTCGGACACAGGGGTATCAGCCTGGGCGACCAGTGCCCCTGGCCCCCACTGGCATTTGCCTTGGTTCCTCAGAGAGGACACTAGTTTCTTGTCACCTTGCTGCATGACTGTGTGTGTATGAACTGGTGCCCAGCTTTTTAGGAAAAGACGTTCTAGTAGTCTGACCTCACCTTCATTTTGCCAGATGCCTCAAGTGACCCCCCTGGTCTCAGCATCCAGCCCCACCCCTCAGCCCTGCATTAGGGGCAGGGTCCCAGGAGCCTGCCCCAAACACTCACGTTCATTAGGTCGTTGAGCTGGTTGTTACCCAGTGAGAGCACCTGCAACTTGACGAGGGAATCCAAGGAGTCGATCTTGGTGATCCGATTATTGAACAAACTCAAGTCCTCCAGGTTCACCAGCGTATCCAGCCCCTCGATGGCCTCGATGTTGTTGAAGGACAGGTCTGGAAGGCAAGAGGGCTGTGAGGGTCTGGTGGGGTTTCAGGGTCAGTTTTCCTAAAACACACCCCTCAGGGCTGCATGATGCTTTGTGAACCAGGCTGAGAATTCACTGTCTGAAGGCCTTCTGGAAGTTTCCATTTCCTCAACGCCATGATTCTTCTATGAGCTCAATATTCCCTGTTCTCTCCAGTCCTGCCATTCATCTTCCTGCAGTGAGACATGGGTAAACTCTGGCCTGTGTTGCTCTTGGATGGGAATGCAGGCCCCCCAACAGTGCCTCTCAAGGCAGCAGGCACGAGAGTGGCAGAGTCTCCATCCTCTCTCCCACAGGGGTCCTACACTGCCTCCCAACTGCTGAGCAGTTATCAGTTTATTAACTATGTATGTGGGTCTGGAGTGATAGTTGAGAGAGTGTGTGCTTGCCTTGTATGTGGCCGACCAGAGTTGTTCCCCTGCTCCACTTTTTTTTTTTTTTTGCTTGTTCGGTCACACTTAGTGATGCTCAGGCATTACTCCTGACTCTGCACTCAGGAATTACTCCTGGCTGTGTTCAGCGGACCATATGGGAAGCCAGGGATCGAACCCTGGTAGGCCACATGTAAGGCAAATACCCTACCTGCTGTAATATCACTCCCTAACCTGAGTTCTATCCCTGGCAACCCATATGGTCTCTCTTAGCAGGGGCAGGAGTGATACCTGAGCACCGAATCAAGAGTAATCTCAGCCAGGTATGCCTCCACCCCCAAATCCAAACAAACAAATATGTATATGGACATCCTCTGACAAGACCCCAAGTGTTAGTTTGGAATTTTCTTCCCTGTGTGAGTGATGGGAAATGGAAACCCAGAAATGTCCAGTGACTGGTTCCCAGTCAGAGCTCACTATGGGGGTTCTGGGGTATAGCCAGGGCTTATCTGTGGCCAAGAATGGGGCAGGCCAGGTTCTTCAGCCTCATCACAGGCCACCCATATCCCTTCCAACACCTGAACCCAACTATCATATCTTTGGGGATAAAAGTGCTTTTCCCCCATCCCAATTTTGGGGTATTTGTAGGGTGGGGATGGCTACCCAGTCCTGGAACATCAATCACTCAGAGGTCCAAACTGGGACTTTTCTCACGAGTCTGGAAATTCTACCATGATTGATGCAATACATCACAATTAAAAGTTTATTTGAAGGGCTGGAGAGAGAATACATGATGAAGGTGCATGCCTTGCACATGGCAGTCTCCAATTTCATCTCTGGAACTGTTAGGGTCTCCCAAGCTCTACTAGGAATGATGCTTATGCACAGAATCAGGACTAAGCCCTAAGCACCACTGGGCATGGTTCTCCCCAAATAAAAATTATTTGAGAAGCCACAGAGATAGTACAGGGGTTAAGGTGCTTGCTGTGGCTGTCCTTCTTGATTTCCTGCACTATATACAATCCCTTGAGTACTGCCAGGAAGTACCCATGAGTATAGAACCAGAAGTAGCCTCTGGCAACGACTAGGCATGGCACAAATATCTGCTCCTCCACCCAAAAAGAAACTGAGAAGTCATTTATTCCCCTCACTTTTTTGTTTTGGTTCTTGAGCCACACCTGGCAGTGCTCAGGCATTACTCCTGGCTCTGCACTCAAGGAATTACACTTGGAAGCACTCAGGGGACCATATGAGATGCCAGGGATCGAACCCTGGTCAGGTGCATGCAAGGCAAGAGCCCTTCCCTCTGTACCATTGCTCTGGCCCCACTGAGAAGTCATTTCATCCATATCTTGATTAGGCACCTCAGGGAGGTATGCCAGTGCCCTAGGTCACCTGTTATGGAAAAACAGCCAGCAGGGTGGTGGAAATGGGGTTCTGGGGCCATAGAGAAGTAGGTTTGTAGGGGGTATGATGCTGCTAGCACGTCAATCTGTACCTGTGAGGCGAGTGCATCAGCAGCCTGATGGTGCCTTCAGACTTCTAGATACCCCAAAATTGCTGCTGTGCCTTTGGCTAGACCCAAAAAACTTGGGGCAAAGTTTACCAAGAAAGTAAACGGCCAAAAGTTAGGTATGTGGGAAACACACCCACAAACCACCTCCGGCTCAGCTATATAATTGGAGGCATGGCCTCTGTGGTTCCTGATCAGACTTCTTAACAGCCATGATCCCAGAGAATCAGAAACAAATCTTGAAACCCAATGGCTTTTGGCAGAAATGCGTCCGGTCACTGTAGTAGGTTACCAGCACAGGGCTAACCCAGGTGGGAATAGGTTTCGTGCCTTGGCCTGTTCCCCCTGGCCGGTAGCCGTCACCCTCCAGAGGTCACTGGAGTCAGGTTTGGGCCTGCAGTGACGAGACACATGGGGCCTCACGGGATGGGGGTGGAGCCGGCCCTTTCCTCCCCATCCTAACGAGTCCCCAAGTTGCCACCCATGAACAGCCTCTCTGGCTCCTAATCAAGATGCTTAACGGCCATGATCCCAGAGACTCAGAAACAAATCTCGAAACCCAGCAGCTTTTGGCAGAAATGTGTCCAGACCCCACAGCAGGTTACTGTTGCTAGGATACCACAGGGGGAAAAGGGTGCTGTCCCTCCGCCTGCTCCCCCTAAGCAGCTTGGTGGCTGCCATCTTCCAGAGGCCATTGGACAGTCAGGTTTGGGCCTGCAGTGACGAGTCATGCGAGGCCTAATGGGATGGGGCTGGAGCCGGTCCTTTCCTCCCCACCCCAGTGAGACCCTGAGTCACAGCCCACGAATGGCCTCTCAGGCTCCTGATCAAGCCACTTAATGGCCATGAACCCAGAGACTCAGAAACAAATCTCAGAACCCAGCAGCTTTTGGCAGAAATGCATTCAGTCCCTGCAGTAGATTACCAGTGATGGATCACCTCAGGTGGGAATAGGTTTCATGCCTTGACCTCTTCCCCCTGGTGGCCTGGTGGCCGCCATCCTCCAGAGGCCACTGGACAGTCAAGTTTGGGCCTGCAGTGATGAGACATGCAAGACCTCACAGGATGGGGGTGGAGCCTGCCCTTTCCTCCCTACCCCAGTGAGACCCCGAGTCGCCGCCCACGAATGGCCTCTCTGGCTCCTGATCAAGCTGCTTAATGACCATGATCCCAGAGACTCAGAAACAAATCTCGGAACCCAGCAGGTTTTGGCAGAAATCTCTCCAGATTTGTTAAAATTTTGGAATTTCAAAATCGTTCAGCCACTACTGCAGCTGCGCGTCATCATATGTTATTCATAACCAGCAATAGAAAACAAATTGTCTACTGTTGCCTTTTTGGCAGATCTGAGTGTTGGGGTAAAATCCCAAATAATAATTATGGGTCTGGTGTCAAAATATTGAATGTAATCAAAGTAGAGAGTGAGTAATGTGGAAATCATCTACCCCACAGGTAGGAGGAGGGTGTGGGACGGGGTTATACTGGGGTTTTTTGGGGTGGATAATGGGCACTGGTGAAGGTACGGGTGTTTCATTGTATGACCGAGACTTAAACCCGAAAGCTTTGTAACTGCTCTCATGGTGATCCAATAAATAAAATTATAAAAAGTAAAAAAAAAAAAGAAGTGGGTTTGTATGCTGGCTCTGCTACTGCCTGGCCACCTAGCTTTGGGCAAGTGCCTTCACCTTGAAGAACTCAGCTTTTTTCTGCAGCCTGATGCAGGTGTGCTGGGAGGCCGAAGTAGGACAAAGTCATCCATCCCGGGCTCCCCGCCAAAACTTCTCCCCAGTAGTGTCCCCTGCCCTTTCGTCAGACGTGATGGCCTCCTGAGAGGTCAGGGGGACACTATTCACCAAAACCAGCAGCCATGCAGTGAAGGCCAGAGCTTAGAAGTCAGATGAAGCTAGGCGTGGAGCCTGGTGGCCTTCTGAACTGTACAGTGGGGACACTCTATGGTTTGGAAGACCCTTCCCCTCCCCACACACACCAGAAAGCACCAGGGGGAGCTGAGCAAGTTGAAAGGTAGCAGCTTAGTGGTTACTGCTGGCCTCATTTGGTCCCTCTAACTGGTGAGGTGCACAGCAATCTCTCAGCGGTGAGTCCAGAGTGAGAACAAGCCCAAGACACAGCAGGTCCCGTCTTCTCTGTAGTGTGGGGGGCTTGGCTGGAGGGAGACTAGCCTGCTGGCACCTATGCTGTGCTTTGTTTGGCACAGGCCCAGGTTTTTACAGAGTGGTTTTCCTGCTTCCGGCAGAAGGAGCTTCTGCTATGACCCATGCTAGGCTATGGCATAAGGAGACAAAAACCTCAGGAGGGTGTCATGCTGAGTGAGGGTGAACAGCTACAGGGAAGGGCCTTACCGAGCCAGACCAGCTGTGTGAGGTTCTCCAGGCCCTCGATCTTCTCTATAAAGTTATTGTCCAGCTGCAGCTTCCTCAGGTTCTCGAACTGCCAGAGGTTGTCTATGCAGAGGATGTCTGAAACAATCGGACAGGAGGTCCCAGTGCTTCCAGCCTTGGTTTTGAATGAGAGTTTAGTACCGGTGTAGTGGAGGTCTGGATGACTCGTGCTGCCGGTACATGCCAAAGGCCCCCTCAACCCTCTGCCTTGCCATGTATGGGAAGTGTGGGGGAGCCCCAGCCCCGTCAGTTCTGAGAAAGTGTTACCATCAATGCTGCTATGCAGGAACACGACAGGGCCTAACGCAGATGGGGTTGTGGGTGGGACCTGCTCAGGGCAGTGTTCACTTAGCTCCTGGCACCACACTGGGGGCTAGGTAGGGGCCCCACCCCATGCAGTATCATGGAGCACCCCCTCTGCACTTGTGCTGCTAATGGGGATGAATGAAGACTGTCCTGTACTCAGGGGAAAAACTTTTCTCCTCCCAGTGTCAGCCAGAGGAACCAACTGGGGCATGCAGTGTTCAGTGTTCCTTTACAGTGCTGGTTCCTCCCCCACATGGAGAGGCAATAGCCAGCATCCTAGGAATTCCCAATAGGTGTTTATTACTTAAAAAAATACTAGGGGGGTGGAGAGGAAGTACAGCAGGTAGGGTTTGCAACCAACCTGGTTGGATCCCGTATGGTCCCTTGGACACCGCCAGGAGTAATTTCTGAGCACAGAGCCAGAAGTAACTAACCCCTGAGTATCACCAGGTGAATGGCCCAGAAAATCAAACCAAACCAAAACAAGACTCACTCTGAGGCTCAGGAAACACACAGGTGGGGGCCTGCTTCCTCCTTCCGTGGAGTGACAAACAAAAACAAGGCTGCAGGGTGAGAGCACCTGCCCCCCTGCCTTGTAGCATTGAAAGGACTGATGGTCACTCAACCAGCTCAACCTTTTGGAAGGGCAATTAAGCCATGTTTAAAGGAGTATTTGATGTCTGGCCCCCCCCCCCCCCCCCCCCCCGCCTGCAATTTATCCATTTGGAATCTGTCTGTAAAGAAAACTTGCATCTGTGACTGAAAGAGTAACACCAGAAACCGTTGGGCAGGAAGACTGGTGGGTGCGAAGCCCATTTGACAGGCAGTGCCTGATGCCCTGGGCAAGTCTCGTTCTGGGTCCCTGAAGACAGCCTGCTTTGGGGATCACCCTGCCAGCCCAATCCATTCCTCCTGACGTCAGGGTTTCTTATCTGTCACTGGCAGCCAGAAGGTCAGAGTAACATGACTTTTTTTTTTTTTTAGCATGGGTTTTTTTTTTTCCCTTTATTTTATTTTATTTTTTTTAAAGTTGTAGATTTACAATTTTTTGTGCTTTGGTTTCAATTATACAATGATCAGATACCCATCCCTCCACCAGTGCCCATTTTCCACCACCATGGATAATATCCCTCCCACCCCCAAGAGTAACATGACTTTATGTAGGCATATGCTGCACCTGTACATCTGAGGGCATAAACGTGTCCCTGGATTTCTGTGAAAAGTCACACACAGCTGCTGTTTATATGCTTCCCTTTTCTATATTTACTTTTGTAATGACTTCCAAATAACACCAAATTCAAATATGCTTATAAAAAGAACAGAAATAATACAGGAAAGAAAAAAAGGAAGCTTGGGCCTGGGAGACAGCTCAAAGACTCGCAGAGCCCAGGGTCTGACCCCAGGCTCCCCAGGTTCCTTTGAACACCACTGGAGGAGCCACTGGGGAGGAGCCCCTGAGTGCTCCCTGGTGTGACCCCCAGACAAACAAACAAACCGAGGCATGTCTGGCAGCCTCGTTATTCATCAGAAGGTGCAGGTTTGGGCAAAGGTATGAATGAGATCTTCAGTTGGGGTTGAGGGTAGTTAGACAGAGTTTTTTTTTTTTTCCTTTTTTTCTTTCTTTCCAGCTGTGCTCAGGGCTTATCCTGGTTCTTTGCTCAGGAATCATTCCTGGCAGGATCAAGGGGACCTTCTGGGGTGCTGGGGAATCAAACTCAAGTTAGTCGCTAGCAAGGCAAGCCCCTGTCTGCTATACTATCGCTGCAACCCTTGGCTAGGCAGTTTTTCTCTGACTCTGAGGACTCACAACCCTTCTACAGACTCTGGATTACCCGGCCCTGCTTCTCTGGGGTGCCGAGGACCAGGCAGGGCTAGAGGTTGAGCCCAGCTCTCATCCTGAGTGTGCAGACTTTCAGAACACCCCTTCTGGGCAAGACCCACTGCCACTCTGTGGTCTCAGCCGCCTCCATGCTGATCCAGCTTCTCTGGGTTTCTCGTGTAACTCCAGCTGCAGTGTCACAACCCATGACTATGACCTCTTTCCTCCAGACACCCCCACCCTGGGCGGCACCTGAGCCTGCAGGCAGGCTTGCCCAGGGTTAGAACATTTTGCACTGGAAAAGTCACAACTATGCACAAAACCGGGATGCTTCTGACACCTCTTACCAAGTTGTCAGAATGCTAGCATTGCTGCCAGTGCTGCCTTGGTCCTCCACAGAGATGCAGAAGCTAACTGCATAGTTGCCATGGGTTCTGAGCCTAGCATACTGGCACCCCAGACCACGGCAGCAAGACTCCCTGCATTAGCCATGGTCCCATCTATTCTCCAGCACCAACAGCAACTTGTGAAAATGTCAGTCCTGTCCTGTTCCTCCCCCTCAAGCGGGTGCCCCTTAGAACCTTCCCAGAGCTCCTAGTTCTTTCACCATAAAAGCCAAGCACTTTCTCTAGGCTCCCAGGCTGAAACCAGCAGACCACTGGGCCTGTCTCCACAGAACTTGCCTCAGGGCCTTTGCACGGGCCATTCCCCATGTCTCAGTCACTCTCTCCAGACCCTCTATTGATACCCACCCCACCCCCACCCCCGCCTCCTTCTGACCTCTGCACCATTGTCAACCTCTGACTTCTAATAAAACATGTGCCCCTCCCCAACACCCAGGCTTTCCCAAGCTCCCCACCCCCCTGTTCAGCCTGTGTCGTTGCCCTGGGAAGATCAAGGGAAGCTGCAAACTGTCCCCCATAAGGTGGTCTTGGTGCCTCACTGGCCATAAGACCCCATTTCTGCAGCAGAGGGGGACTCTGAGGGCAGCCTCCTCTCATGTGTGCGGGCTCCAGGGAGTAAGGTTATGGTGCGCCGTCAGCAGGAGACAAACTGTCAGCGGTCCCCCAACTCAGGACCCTGTTCCCAGGGTTTGGGTACCTGGGAATAGAGGCCCAGGATGGAGAAGCTTAGATCTCTTCCTCCAAACTGGGGGCCCAGGACACTTGGGGGGCATCATAACTGCTTGCAGATTCTCTTGTGGTATTTTTTTGACAGGTCCGCATGGCCCCCAGCCCACCCCACCCTCGTCCCCTGTGAAAATAACACTTTTGTCTCCTAGGAGGCTCCTGAGAGACAATGACTGGAGTTTGATATCTTGTTGGTTGGGACATGATTATTTTTGTTACACAGCTGTTATTTATCAATAGTCAGTTTCTCATGAGGAGCCAGACCTTTTGTGCACCACCCCAACCCCACTAGCTGTGGGGGTTCTGGGAACCCTCACTCCTTCCCCCAAGCTCCTCCTCATAGGTGAACCCTTATTTACTGTCCCCACCTAGAGCTGGTTTCCTTGTCATGGTGAAATACTTGATCCCTATTTTATTCTTGTAAAATAAAAGGGAAAACCTGAAGAACAACAACAAAATCTATAGCATGTGTTACCGATAAACACTCCGATTGTCCTTTTTGGTCTTACTTGTATCCTTCACCTAAATGTCAGTTCTAGGACAGGGTTTTGCTTTTTATGGGTGGGAGGAGCTCAGGGTACACATGCTCTGGCAAGGCCCACGACTTAGTGAAGCTGGGGTAGGGGGAGGCTCCCTGGCTCACCTCAGTGCCCCTGGAGCCTGCACAGGATGGCCCTGGCAGGGCCCACACAAGGGTCCAGAATGGGGTGGGAATGTGAGTCAGACCAAGTTGGCTAGTGAGGGGGCGGTGGGGAGGGCGGTGTCGCGTCTGGAACAGGAACCAGATCTCCCCAATTTGGTATGGACACGGAACTGTGGGCTCTGTCTGACCCAAGCCTGGCCTTCTCACTCAAGCCAGGCCTGACATTCCTGAGGCCCCCATGCCCCATCCCCAGGGCCTCAAAGCCCTCTGCCCCATTCAATTTTCAGCCCCCTCCCACCCCCCAGCGAACCTTCAACCTGTCACAGCTCTTGCTTGGCTCCCATATTCTGGGGTGGAAAGAGCACGGAGCTTTTGTGGTTCACCTAGTTTGGAGAGGGAGAACTTTATCCTGGCTTCTATTCTTACTCAGAAGCAAGCAGATTGTGGATATGCAAATGTTTCTGAAACTCAGTAGGAAGCTTTAAAATGGTCTGTTCTGAGCCTCTATGTGATCTGCCATAACAACAAAGAGAAATCCTGGACTCTGCAATCAAGAAGCGCAGAGAGGGTCAACACCTCAACCAAGGGCTGGACCATCAGTGCAATGGGAAGGGAAGGGAGGGGAGGGGAGAGAAACAGAAGGTATATGGGATGGGGAGGAGGAAGGGGAAGGGACAGGGGGGAGGAGAAGGGGAAGGAAGGGGAGAGAGAAAGTGAAGGAAGGGGAGGGAGAAGGGGAGAAAGGAGGGGAGAAAAGAGGAGGGGTGGAGAGAGCAAGGAAAGAGAGGAAATGGGGAGGGAAGGTGAAGAAAGGGGAGGAGAGGGAAGAAGAGGAGAGGGGAAGGGAGGGAAGAGGGTGGGAGGGGAGGAAAGGGGAGGGGTAGGAAAAGGGGAAAAAAAGGGAAGGGGACAGGGAAGGAAATGGGAAGAGGCAAGGAAAGGGGAGGAGGGTGGAAAAAGGGAGGGGAGAGGAGTGGGAGGGGAGGGGAGAGAAGGGACAGAGGAAAAGGGAAGGGGAAGAACGGAGAGGAGAGGGAAGGAAAGGGAGAGAAAGGGAGGGGAAGGGAGGAGAGGAAAGGGAGGGGAGGGGAGAGTGTGGGAGGGGAGTAAAGGGAGGAGGTAGGAAAGGGGTAAGGGGACAGGGAAGGAAACGGAGAGAGGCAAGGAAAAGGAGAAGGGGGGAGGGGAGAGGAGGGGCAGGAGAGGAGGGATATGTGCGGGTAAGGGGGATCATCTATGTTGCTCCTACAGCTTCTAACCCAGACAGGCCCTAACCATGTGGGTCTTTGACCTTCCAGAATTCTGGGGCCGGAAGGTGGAGTGGGGAGAGCCCAGCCCGGTGGCACAGCCCCTGTCCCTGCCCGCCCCCTTCCATACGCACTCTGGAAGTCCAACCGCAGGGACAGGACATCTTTGAAGAGGATGCCCTCCTGTCTGGCCAGCTGCCCAGCCTCTTCTTGGGGGCCCTGGTCCCACACTGCCTGCTTGAGCAGTTCATCGTCTATCACCCTGGGCTCAATCCAGTTGCATATCCGGTTCATCCTCCTGCAAAAACAACATGTTCCTCTCTGAGACCTCCTCTCTGAGACCTTGGTTTTCCCGCTGAAGACAAACCTGGTTGGAGGTTCCTTGAGGAGTCAAGGAGCAATCTGGCAGGCATGCTCACTGAAGCCTGCCCACTGCACCTATGGGTTAGCACCAAGGCTGGTCCCTGCAACCATCCATACTGTCCACAGGGCCATATCCCAAAGAGCCCCGTGCCAGAGGTGATTTTGCCAGACTGCTCCTGAAGCCAGGGCCATGCTGCCTCCTGAACCTCTGTGCATGGCTTTCCTGGCTCTCTCCTTCCTTCTCTTCTTTGGTGGGGGTGGGGAACACAGCCAGCAGTGCTCAGGTCTTATTCCTGACTCTGCACTCTGGGTAGACTCAGGGGACCATATGGGATGCCAGGGATTGAACCCAGCAGAGCTGATGCTACAAGTTCTCCCCAAGAAATGTGACCATGGGGCCCCAAAGGCTGCTTGAGTTGAGAGGAACTGGGGAAACGAACTGGCCAGGCATGGCAGCAGGCAGAGAAATAGGTAGAGGAGGCCGAAGGACAAAGGGAAGCAGAGGAGAGAACTGAGTGATCAGAGGCTTGACACCAAAGTAGGCTGCCTCTTCCTCACTGGCTTTCTGATTCCTCAAGTCCCTAATGAGAATTTTTGTTTATTTTTTTTGTTTATTTGTTTTGGGGGTCATACCTGGTGATGCTCAGGGATTACTTCTGGTAGGTTCGGGGGACCATATACGATGCTGGGGATTGAACCCAGGTCGGCTGCATGCAAGGCAGACTGTACTATTTCTCTGGGCCGATTAATGAGAATTTCTGAGCCCCCTTTTCTGAGAGCTTTCCCATTTCTTCTAGCAAATACTCTCTTAAGCTAATGTTAAAGGTCCAAAGGGAAATGGAGGCGCCACAGACCAACAGTGGGCTTGGGATTCAGTCAGTCACTCTAAGGCCGGCTCTGGGCTACACTTTCTGACTGATCAACGCCACAGCCTGGGAAGCTGAGTGCCATTCCTTCCTCCACACCCCCAGCATTATAAACCCTCTAAGTGGGAACATACAGACGAGTTAGACCTCACACAGCATCACAGCAGACCTCACCAACAACCAGAAACTGTACTCCCTCCACTTTCCACTCTGGCTTCTCCCCTCCTACCAGCTTTACTGTCTTTATCCATGCATGTACCTAGTCCCCAGGCCTCCCTGAACCCCTGTCATACTGATCCCAGATATTGGACAGTCACTGTGCCCAGCCTCTTTTTGGTACTGGAGAGCCTTCTGGTATTGAGTGTCCATCACTAACCCAGGTGATTCTGTAACCTGGTCTTGGAGACAGTCCCTGCCAGGAAGCCCATCTTCCTTTCCCTCCTACCATCTACTTAGATGTATCTTGGGAAAATGCACATCTCTCAGTGTGGAGCTGTTCATGATCAAATGCCTCAATGCCTCCAATTCCCAGGTCTGTCTGAGGCTTTCTTTTACTCCTTCAAACTTTCTCTGCCAGTGCTTCTGTCTTCCCTATCTCTCCAGTCTCTCCATCTCTTTAGGGCAACTGATCTCAACTTTTAAATATGTTTTCAGTCTTCAGCCTCTCTCTATCTCCTGACTTTTCTGAATCAATTTTATCTATGATTTTCCATGACAGCACCTACTTGCCTATGGAAAAATATTAATGTGCTGTATTTGCCACCATGTGTTATATGTTACCTGCAAAGTGTTTGTGCTATTATTTTCTTCCTTTTCTTTTTCTTGAGGGGCATATCCAGGATGCTCAGGTTAGTCCTGGCTCTGCACTCAGGAATTACTCCTGGCAGTGCTCAGGAGACCATCTGGAATGCCAGGGATTGAACCTGGGTTGTCTGCATGCAAGGCAAATGCGCTACCTACTGTACTATCTCTCCAGCCCCTCTTTCTTTTTTGGAGGGGGGCAGTAGTGCTCAGGGATGACTCCTGGTGGGATTTGGGGGAACATATGTGGTTTTGGGGATCAAACTCAGGTCAACCACATGCAAGACAAGTGCTCTACTGAACTATTACTCTGGCCTTTGCTTGTGCTTTTAAAAGGAAGTTGCTGTATTATGGGAAATGATTCTTAATTATGACCCTAAAACTTTAACTTGTCATTGTATTTCACCAAGGCCTGGCACCTGTGACAGATACTATCAACCTAGCTTTCAATCAGTTTAGTGATCTCTATATGGTGTGGGATAATTGTTATATGTACTTATGCACATAAGGGCCAGACCTGGATCTTGATTGTGTATTCTTTGGAAACTCACTTTACCTATCTAAACTTTTGACTTCTTATTTGTAGAAGACAGATGATTCTTTTCTTTAACACTTTTCCAAAAAGTGTTTGGGTAACACACATGCAATGCATGGCTTCTGCAAGCTGTGTATAAAACAGATCTCTTACCTCTGTTTCAGACATTAATCAAAGCACATACAAATAGTTTATTACAAACGATGACACATTTTTAGGTATGGTAACTGAAAGCATGCCCTTGGGAACCTGACTTGTCCAGGGGTGACACAGCTGAGATCTGAGTGGTGGCCAGGAAAAGAGGAAAAAGGAACTACACAGTGAAAGTCCTGAGGTGGCGCCTGCTCCTCTCTGGAAAGAAAGATGGCGGCTGCACGGGAGCCTTGTGGACAGCAGGTTTGAGCCGGGGGCAGGGGGCGGCAGGGGCCTCATGGGAAGGGGGGCGTTCTGGGCCGTCCTTCACGCCCGACCGACCGAGGTCACCAGCTGCCCCCCACGAGCGGCTCTCCGGCACGGCCACGACTCCAGAGCACAGAAACCAATCTCTTAACTATCTAACTTTTAATAGAAATACTTCCAGGGTTAATAAGTAAAACAGGAGAAATCCAAAACCGCGTGGCCGCTATTGCGGCCGCGCAACATCATTTTATTCTTAAACCAAGCTGTAGAAAGCAAATCATTTCACAACGCTGTTTCAGCATATCTAATTGGGGGGGGGGTCATAAACTCTAAACAATAATTGTGCATCTTCTATCGAAACAATGTATCTAGTCAAAGTAGATAGAGTATTAACTAGAACTCATCTGCCACACAGGAATTGGGAGGGGTGGGAGGTGGGGTTCTATTGGGGTTCACAGTTAAAAATAAGTATTGGTAAAGGGAAATGTGTTTGATACTTACATGACTGAGACCTAAACCCGAAAGCTCTGTAACTTTTCCCACAGTGATTCAATAAAGAAATAAATTATTAAAAAAAAAAAAGAAAAAAAAAAAAGAAAGTCCTGAGGTGGGAAAGAATACTTCATTTTCTATTCTGACAAAAGTGATGGAAGGCTGGAGTTGTAGTCATATCCTAAGAGACCTAAACAGATCCTGGAGTATAATAACAAGTCATATTATCAGATTTGAACATTAAGAAGTTCACTCTGGTGAGAGAGAGCCAGTGTGAGAGTCAGATGTAGATGTGAGAAATTTCTGGAATTTTATTTATATGAAAACTCTCATTTTCAGTTCAGACAAGACAATGTAAGCTAGTTACAAAAGTTTTAAGTAACAATCCCAGACTCAAATATCTAGTATATGGCAGAGGCAGAAAGATATAATTCAGAATCCATTTTCTTTTATTTTCCTCCCCCCCCTCCCCACCTCCAGGAATTCTGGCAGTGTTTGGGGGACTATCTGGGATGGCAGAGATAGAACCTGGGTCAGCCGTGTGCAAGGCAAATGTTTTACCCATTGTATTAATTTTCCAGCCCCTTTTATTTCTTTCTCTCTCTTTTTTTGGGGGGGAAGGGGGAACAGCAGTGCTCAGGGCTTACTTCTGTCTCTAAATTCAGGGATCACTTCTGGTGGGCTCAGAGGGCCATATGGAATACCAAGGATTGAACCCTGGTCAGCTGCAGGCAAGGCAAACACCCTATCCACTGTACTACTGCTCCTGCCCCCAGAACCCATTTTCTTAATGGTCACTCAAATGTACCCGGTACAGGGGACCATTACTGTGGACAAGTCAGCTCACAATGTGTCCCACCACAAGTCTAGGTCAGGAAAATAGGTCCTAACAGTAATTTACACCCAATCTGGATTCTGGGGACTTGTCTGAACTGGTAAAGCCCAAAAGAGGAAGGAGAAGCAGCAGTTGAATACCACTGTTCACAAAGTCAGTACCTCACCAAGAAAGTTTCAGAACTGTCCCAGGAAATAACTGGACCTGGAAAATGCAGCCATGTTTTGCTGTGAATTAATATGAGAAAAGCAAGTATGTACCGAATCAAGTGACTAAGGGCACATGCATTATTTATGAAATTGCATGTTAGCTGAAGAAGCCATAGAAACGGGAGTCCCAAGGCCCTAATTTCCCAAGTAGAAAAACTAAGGGAAAGAAATTTTTTAAAGTCATATAGTGAGTTATTAATTGAGATAGACATAAAATTCAGGTATTTATATTCCTATCCGAAGCACTTTATACAACACCATGATGCAGGAAAAAAAACAAGAAAATTTCATGACAATAGAGAGGCTGGATATAATGACTGCTGTTATTATTATTTGTAATGGAGAGATGGAACCTGGGACACACAAGCAGGGCATTGACCTTCTGCTGAGCTGTACATCTCGGTCCTAAGGATTAAATTATCAGTGGACAGGTGACTTTCCTTTCCTTTTCTTTTTCTTTAATGAAAGGGATACGGCCAGGAAACTGAGGGTGGGACTTTAAGAAATCTTTCCGGGTCCTGCTCTCTGAGGAAAGGTTTCCTTAATAACAATTACTTTCCTGCTCTCTGAGGAAATGCTTCCTTAATAACAATTACTTATTAATAAACTGAATAATAATTTCTTATTCAGAAAGTCCGGGACTAGAGTTCTGACTGTCTCAGTGTGGTCGTTCTGCGGCTAGCGGAGAAGCTTTGAAAACAAGCGGGCTGGAGTCCTGAGAGAAAAAGTCAGAGGAAAGAGATAAACTGGGTCGCGGCCGGCCCCTACGACCCTCCGTGGCCACAGGCCGCGGATCTCACCTGCAGCCCGGCTACCGGTCTAGCTCCACGCAGCCGAGGCGTCGCTCCGTTGCTAGAGAAACCCAGCGCCGCCACTTCGTTGCTAAGGGGAAGTCCAGAGGTAGACATCCTGGGTGAAAGTTGACGCGTCACGTGACGCCAGGGGCGGGGCAAGACTCCGGCTACCAACCAGACGTAGAGAAAACAAACGCTCCTCCAATCAACGCTTCCTAGAGGCGGGACTCTTTCTAGCCTAGCCTCTTTCTCCTGGCCCTAGTGAAGCGATTGATTAGTCCTTTGTCCAATAATAGCAAGGATTCGCTAGATTGACCAACACACAGATGAATCAAAATACACAGGCTCCCATTCGGAGGCGGACCAGGCCAGGCGCCGCTACGCCTTTTAGAAATTCCCCTGACCGAGCGCCCTCCCCAGCCCAATCAGACGCCGCGGGGTAGGCGGGGCTTCGCCGGAGGAGGCGCAGGGGCCAATCGGAGGAGGACTGAGCCAGCGTTGCCCAATAGAGACACGACAGTGGGTGGGGCTAGGGCCGGGCGTTCGGCGTTCCAGAGGGTGGGGCGGGGGCAAGTGTCAGTCAGGTCGGGAGCTCCAGGGGGGACATCGGAGACCGGGCGGCTGACAGGGGGCCCGGACCGCTACGGTGTTGTCCTCCCAAGATGGAGTTCCTCCTGGGGAACCCGTTCAGTACCCCGGTGGGGCAGTGCCTCGGTAAGGCCGCGAGAAGGGCGGGCGTCTGGGTGGGCGGCGGCGGCGGCTGACTGGGCTGGTGAGGACCCGCGGGCCTTGTCCGGGCACTGGTGCCTCTTGGCGGATGGGGCCGGCATCCTCGTGGGGCCTCTGCCCGAGCGCTCTTGCCGCCCCAAGACGAGCAGGGCCTGTTCACTGACGCCGGTCCACCTGCCAGGCGGCGCCTGCGGCCCAGCTTGGACGGAGATGCTCCGTGGCTCCCTCTGCCACCGGGCTCAGCCCACCCGCGTCTCCCGGGTGATGCCAGTGCGTGTGCCTTTGCCCAGCTCCAGCCATCTCGATGACACCGCCACCAGGACTCAGTTGTCCCAGCCCCTGTTCCCTCCACCCTCGACGCTCCCTTCCAGGACCCGCACCCTGAGACTGGGCACCCTCCCAGGGAAGGCTCCCCGCTTCCAGACTTGCTAATTAGAGCTGCATCTCGCCTAGCTGAAGGAGGAGGGATGGGGGAGGGCTCCTGGGAGGGGGGTCTGCCTCCCGGCCCCCCCACCCCCCACTCCTGGGAAGAAGGGAGACCGTGTTTGTGAGTGATAAGAGACTGGGAAAGGGAATGAGGAAGCCTGGATTCCATCTGGGGGGTTGCCACCCACTCTCCCCATGACCTTGTGCAAGTCACTGCCCTTTCTGGGCGGAAGTTTCCCTGCCCGTCAAAGGAGGCTTTGGGGAGGTCAGATGCGGTAGATCTCTCGCAGGCCACAATGTTGATACTTTTTGCAGCCGTCTGTGCACACTGCCCATGGCTGATTCCCCTGTGTATTAAATGTTCCCAGACAAATGTAGAGAGTGGTACTAGCAGTACCTGTTACTCTTTTTATTTATTTATTTTTGGTTTGATACCATACCTGGCAGTTTTCAAGGCTTACTCTTGGCTCTGTATTCAGGGATCACCTCTGGGAACCATATGGGATATTGGGGATCAAATCTGGGACAGGCATGGACAAGGCAAGTCCCCTACCTGTTTTACTATCTTTCCAGCCCACTTGTTACACTTATATTTTGTTTTTTGGGCCACACTAGGAGGTGGTCAGAGCTTACTTCTGACTCTGTGCTTAGGGATCACTTCTGGGGGTGCTCAGGAGACTGAATGTTGTGCCAAGCATTGAACCTGGCTAGGGCCATTGAACCCAGGCTGGCCTAGTAAAAGACAAACACCTTACCTGCTCTACTGTCTCCAGCCCCAGTGCATGTTACTCTCACAGGTCTGCTTTGGGCACTTCGAACAGAGCACCAGAGAGGCAGTATCTGGGGTAGGCAAAGGACCACCAGAGTGGCCAACATCTGGGCATTTTCATATTACAAAAAGCAACATCCTTCTCACTTAAGTAGGAGTTTAAGTGATCAGTTGAGAATGTTGATTAGTTTCTTTGAAAACTGGTCTCCTCCTGTTTGGTGGAAGGACTGGTAAAACATCTTCCATGGGGAGGAACTTTGGTGTCTTAATGGGCCAGCCTGGTTTAGGCAATAGTGACTTATTTGTTTACTGCTTACTCTTCAGTTTTTAGGGGGCTGTGAAATTACTGAGGCCTCTTCCCTTGTTAACGAGCCATTTGGGAGCTTTCTTTTGTGGTATAATGTCTTTGATAGGGGTGATCAATAGTAGACCCTAGAAAAATGTTTTCCCATCTTTATGGACTGACTTGTCGTTCCAGATTATTGCCCTCCTACTCTGCCCCTTCTTTATTCCTTTCCCTAGGCTCTCTCTCACTGCAGCCATGTGCCCAAAACTCAGTTTTCACTTGACTGTTGAATTCCAATCAGAGAGTGAAGAGTCTCAGGAAATTGGGGTAGAGAGAGATTTTTTTGGTCTCCTTCACAATAGGAAGTTCTGCATCTTTGAAATGCCAAGCTAGATGAGGGTGGGGCTTGTAGAAGTTAAAGAGGATTTAAAAACATACAAATAGATGTTTGGGATTTAGTGAGTGGAAAGTGTGTGTTGTTCCTATCAGGATGACATAAGTTAAATTTTACTTTGCTCGTTTGTTGGTTGTGTGATCAGGAGCAGAATAATTTTGTAACCCTCTGAGAGAGAGAGAAAGAGAGGAAGGAGGTCATTATAAACAGAGAGAGCAAGAAGGACAGGTATGAATACTGACAGTGTAGTTTAAGTGGGACAACAGAGGCAAAACACTTAGCAGAGTGCCTGGAAGATAGTAGAGGCCCCATAAATTGTAGCTGTCATTGTTAACAGAAAAATTAATTAAGGATTGAATTTTCTATCTGAAGAGGAAATGAGGGACAAATAGCCCATCTGTGACCAGTGAAGGAAAATGCTCCGAGTCCCCTGTACTCACTATTCATAAAGAAGAAAGCGTCTTCATGCCAGTTAGTCAATAGCCAACATCTAGGTAATTTCACAGTATAGGCCAGCTTAATGATCAATGCAGAAAGAGAGTTTAATGTGACAAAACAGAAAAATAATTTTCAGAGTCAGAGAGATAGTGCAGTGGGTAGGGAGCTTGTCTTGCATGTGGCAGATCTGGATTCAATCCTTGGCACCACATATGGTCCTCCAAATACCGCCAGGAGTGATCCCTGAGCTCAGAGCCAGGAATAAGCCCTCAGCATCACTGGGTGTGGCCCCAAAATAAAGCATAAATTTCATGATGTTTATTGTTCTTTAAAAGTTTGTGCCAGAGGCTTGGTAAGGGATTGGAGGTACATAACTAAAACACACTGAAACTAATGATTAAAAGTAGCAGAGTTAGCTTATACAAAGCAGTTTTACAGCCATCATTTGCTCCTTCCAACTGCTCTTTGAAGTCAGGTTGATTGTCCTTCCATTTTAGAGATGAGGAAACTGAGGCTCTGAGAAATGAAAATACTGCCTCCCTGGTAAGAGAGAGCTGGCCTACATAACTGTCCTTGTCTGCCGGTGATTGATAGTGCCGCTCAGCAGAGAGGACCCAGAAACACAGAACAATGGTGATTCTCTCAAAGCCATAGTTCCATGCTTGGTCTAACAGCATAGGTCGTAAGCACTGTGAGGAGTCCAGGAGAATTCAGGAAAGCTGTGATGGAGGGACTGACTTCCTGCAGTCTAAGCTGCTCATGAGACTAAGTGAGGATTCTCCAGAGAAGAGGCTACTCTGTACCTGAAGCCAGGTGAAAAGATGGTACAGTATTACCCACCTCAGTTGTTGCTAGTCTACCTCTTGGCTGCCTGCAATCAATTTCCGGCATCCCATATGGTTCCTCAAGCCTGTACAGGAGTGATTCCTAAATGTAGACCCAGGAGTAACTCCTGAGCACCATTGGGTGGGAACAAAACAACAAGGATAAAAGCATATCTCTTAACAGCTGCTTGAGGCATGAGTTGAAATAATTCCTTCAGGTCAATTTAGTTGGCATTTTGAGTGCCTGCTGAGTAGGAGGCTTCTGGATACAAATATTACAGAGTTGCTCTTAGGGAGTCTTCATTAGAGGCAACATCTCAGCAGGTGTCCTGGAGTGCAAAGCATTAGTCTGAGGGTTTGATAAATGATAAAGTCATATTCCTGAACTGCACGTGAACATTTTAACTTGGTGCTATGTGGTTGAACACATAACCTGTCCATCTGCAGCTGGAGGCTGAGGTCAAAGTTTAAGTTACCTGTGCATTTCTTGCCTTCATCCTGCCTCTTGTCCCAGAAGGTGGTTCCTGTTACTGTAACTTGCTCTACTATAGTTTGGAAAGGAAGTAGTGGCATGAGAGACTTTGAACTCTGGAGGAAGAAGAGACATACTTATTTTTATTTCCTGATTCTCTCTCTCTTTCCCTTTCTCTCTCTCTCTCTCTCTCTCTCTCTCTGGGGGATCATACCCAGAGTTGCTCAAGGGTTGGCTCTGCACTCAGGAATTACTCCTGGTGGTGCTTGGGGGACCATATGAGATGCCAGGATCAAACCCAGGTCAGCCACTTGCAAGGCTAGCATGCTACCACTGAACTGTCTCTCTGGCCTTCCTGATTTTCTCTTCTGAGGCAAATTCATCATGTTACTATCTAATCTCAGGCCTCCACTGAGCCCTGAAAGTTGGCTGTGCCCTGGAACTGGATGTCATACTTTAGGAGTTCCCCAAATCAGGGTCACGGTGCTCTGCAAGTGTTGGCTGAAATACAGTCTCAGATAATCTTTTTTCCAAGAATAAAGCTTGTATTCTTTTAGATAAAAAGATAAGTTAGTGGTTATCTCATTCTGACCAGAATATGGTGTGTAGGAGCAGGCAGAATAATTTATTCATTTCTAATAAGTGCTGAAAACTGATAAGTTATTATAGAGGTTGCATGTATAGATCAGATGGCGCAGGGCATAGACTGTTTCCTACTGTCTAGTGAATGGCAGCTGTATGACCCTAGTATGGCTGAGTGTCCCAGGAATGATTAGTCCTCCCCCTGATTGCTTTGGCAGCTGACATTTTGCAAAGAACTTTTGCTTCAGTCATTTTATATAGTCTTCACAACCTGGGAATACACAGGGAAAGGACCAAAAATAACTCATTAAGCCCTGCAATATGCAAACTTTGTTTGTGAGATCTCATTTACTCTTCCCAATTTTAATTGAGTAGTAGTGGACCTTTTTGTTTTTAGTTTTGGGGCCACACCTGGAGGTACCCAGGAATCAGACCTGGCAGGGCTCAGAGAAACTTCCCCACTTATACTATCTCTCTTGCTCCTGAGTAGTATTGTACTGGGTAGCTGAGACTGAGAAGTTGAGAGATTTGTGCCACTCTGGATCCTAGAATCTACTCTGAATCCAGTGCTTGGGGGACCATACGAGATAATGGGGATTGAGCCCAGGTAGGCCACATGCAAGGCAAATGCCCTACCCGTTGTATTATTGCTCCAGCCCCTAAAGTAGAAGTTTTATGTATCTTTCAGACTTTTAACCCAGAGCCTCTTAAACCTTTTCTACTCAAGATCTCTTCTTGCCTAAGAATAACAGCTCAGGTGAGCACTGCCAGGAGCACCTCAGACTCATCATACA